AATTAGACCGTATCTTTGAATGATAGGTTTTCGGACGACACTCGTGTCCGCATGTCGCCCGCGCACACGAGTCGCGGTTTATCTTCTCCGTTTCGGGATTTGATCGGCACCCCCCCTGCGCGTAAGAGGGAGCTTTTACCCTTAGGAATCTTAACTCCTTAAAAGAGGCTTACCTTTATAAGGGGGTGAAAATCCCTTGAGTTTTTCGGTGTGGGATAAAACACACTTGAAACTCATCATTTTCCCAGTTTTTCCATTTCAACGAGTGAACTTCGAGAATCAATTTCTCATTCACCCGTTATCCGTTTTGAGTGTACCATATATCGAATTGTAGCCCTTAACAAGGACAATCCGAAACCACTTTGACTCGACCCAAATTGGAAGTGGACCCCACTCAAATAATTTCCCTAAAATGACCATTTAATGCAATTTTTAACACATTTTTCCAACAGATACTGGATCCTCTGTTAACATCATGTACATACAGACGTTCCACGAGCTTGACCTCCATCTCAACTCTCTGAGGCCCATCCGAACTCCCCTCTCCAGATTTACCGGTGACTCCAAAGACGCTGAGGGCACTATTGAGCTCTCCCTTAAGTTCGGGGATGGATCTCACCACTCCAGGATCCCTGTGGAGTTTGTGGTGGTGCGACTCGAGTGCGCTCACAATGTCATACTGGGAAGGCCAGCACTGGAGGATTTGGAAGCGGTGATCTCCATGCGGCACCTCTGTATGAAATTCCCAACTGAGACCGGGGTCGGCTATTGCAGAGGTAGCCAGAAGATAGCCAGATCCTGTTATATGAAGATGACAAAGCGGATGGCAGTCACAGACATGCGCATCAACACCATTTCACAGGCCGCACTCGAGGAAGAAACTCCCAGAGCTGATCCTGTAGACACGCTGGAGACTGTTATCTTGGATCAGTCCAACCAGGAAAGAGCTGTTCAGATCGGAACAAACCTGAATCCAGGACTGAGCTAATATGCAGGCAGGAAAGCTGAGGATCAAATGTATGAAATAATAAGGAGGCCAGGATGAAAGAATATAAAGCCGCTGCGCTGGAGCTCCTGGGAACTTTCCAGATGTATGAAATACTGCAGATACCACGGGCTCAGAATCAGGAAGCTGACATTTTGTCGAAACTGAGCTCGGATACGCCTGAGTACATCTCCAAGATAGCTCAGGTGGAGGAACTGTCAACGCCGAGTATACAACGGACCCTCATACATCAGGTACAATCCATCTCGAGGGACTAGACCACTGACCTAAAAGAGTATATTGACAACGGGCAACTGCCCCATGGTGAGGCCGAGGCCAGACTTGTCAAGCTCTGGGCCCCGACCTATACCCTCCTCGACGACGTGCTATACAAAAGGTCTTAAAACGGCATGCTCCTACGCTGCCTCAACCCCAATGAGGCCAAACTAGCCATGGAGGAGATCCATGCTGGGGTCTGTTCGGCACATCAAGGCCCTCACTCAATGTCCAGAAAGCTCCTATTGCAGGGATATTTCTGGCCCACCATGGCAAAAACATGTGCCCGGATTGCACGTACTTGTGATGCATGCCAACAGTTCCAGAACGCCCTGGGACGTCGAGCAGTAAACTACGCCCCCATAAGCACGACAATCCCATTCTCCAGATGGGGCGTAGACTTGGTGGGACAGCTTCCCCGGGGAACTGGCAATTGTAGGTGGATTATAGTCGCCATTGACTATTTCACCAAATTGATAGAAGCGGAACCACTGGCCAGCACAACCGAGGCGTGGTGTAGGAAATTTGTCCACAAAAATATCCTCACTCGCTTCAGAATGCCACAACAGCTCATCACTGACAACGGTACTCAGTTCGAGGCCAAAAGTTTCCAGGACATGCTGGCCAGTTGGGGAATCAAACACACTGCAACCTCCGTCGCCTATCCACAGTGCAACGGACAGGTAGAAAATGCCAACCGCACCATCCTGACGGGCTTGAAAAAGAAGCTCGCAGATGAGGGCGGAGGCTGGGTGGAAGAGCTCCACAACATTCTGTGGGCCTACAGAACAACTCCCCGCAAGGCAACGAGTGAAAATCCATTCTCACTCTGTTACGGCTTTGAAGCCAAAGCCCCTATAGAAGTCACGATTCCGACCCTGCGGGTCCTGACATACGACCCCGAGCAGAACGAACAGGATATGCGGGTCGATCTTGACTTTACTGATGAAAGGAGGGAAAACACATTCTTGAGGTCGGAGAATTACAGACGCCAAGTCAAAAGCTACTATGATGCTTGAGTTCGAGGTCGGGAGTTCCAAGTGGGGGACTACGTTCTCAGGCGACGAGCGGCTAGCCAACCCAATGAAGGGGGAAAGATGGCCAAAAAATTCGAAGGGCCCTACATCATCACAGCTGTAGTCCGGCCCGGAACCTATAAACTGAGCACCCCAAAAGGCACAGAGGTTACTAGATTATGGAACGTCCACCACTTGGTGAGGTACTACCAGTGACCCAGCGCTGTAAAGGAGACAATGAGCCCTCACCAAACGGAGACTTTGCACAATCACGAGCATTGGGAATCCAGGGTCACTGATAGCAACCTCAACCGTACACTGTAAGCTGTTCACAGTCGCCATTAAAATCAATGAAGGAAGCATAAGTCCTTGTTCCTCACAGACATAAGCTCTCCCTGGAAGCAACCAATAAGCCTTCCAGTCCACACTCAACAATAGCATAAGTCGGGGCAGCATAATAAGTCCTCGTGAACACAGGCTCTTCAGCCCACTCATTCCGAGGCCATCTTGTAAGACCTCGACGATAATAGCCCCAGTGGCTCCAAAATTCTGAGGTCACTTTGTAATCCCTCAATGGCACACCCTCCTCAGCCGAGCCCCAAAGCAGAGGCGACTTTATAAATCCTCGCGGATACCGGCTTTTCGGCCAACAATCCAAAAAGCCGAGGCGACTCGGTAAGCCCTCGCAAGCAAAGACTATTCAGTCTATGATCAATTCTCCGAGACCACTTTGTAAGCCCTCCAATATCTGGGAATAACAGCCTCAACGGCTCCCGATCTCCGAGGCCATTCTGTAAGCCCTCCACAACCAAACAGGGATAATAACTTGGGCTCCACATCTACATAAGCCCTTGTTCCTTCCTCACCAAACTAACAAGGATAATAGCCCCACGCGGCTCCCAAGGAGAGAAGTCAAGGCATCTACATAAGTCCTTGTTCCTTCCTCACCAAACTAGCTGGGATAGTAGCCCAACGCGGCTCCTGAATATTGGGCTGAGGCGATTTTATAAGTCCTCGCACCCCACGAATTTTCGTCTCCCCCATTAGCATTGAAGGCGGGGGGAGACAGAGGCGCAATGCCGAAGGATGGGCTACTTGACGGTCCTGACCTTGGTCGAGCACCTCTCGCTCCCGACCCCGCCGAGCTCTCGCACGAATCTCGCAACGCCGTGCTCTAGTCCATATCTCGCGGTCTGGAAGGTGGCCAGGCTCCCAAAATTGATGGCGAAATGCCACAGTCCGGAATTAAAGTCCGACTGCCTACACCTCTCGCTTCCGACCATACCGGGCTCTCGTACGAATCCCGCTCAGCCGAGCTCTAGTCCATAACTCGCGGTATGGAAGGAGGTCGTTACCAAAACTCTGGCGCAAAGCCAAAACGGTCTGGAATTAAAGTCCGGCTACACCACGACGCATCACTGCGAAATCCAACCGAGCTCACATAAAAGACCTCGCGCTCGGATTGTAACGGCGGAGACCACTTCTCGAGCATGCCACACAACTCAGGACCTACTTCTCAGGTTCTGCTCATATGTTACAGCCGTTTGGGATATTTTACAAAATAAAATACCTTTGCAACAGTCATTCACCACGAGTGAAGAAACTGCAGCAACAATGCTAAAACAGTTTTTCATCACAGACTGGGCAAATGCTCTTCATAGCACAAGCTCAGGTCGGAGGGCAGAAGAGGACTTTAAATGATAAAGTCACCTCACCTTTCCAACACACGAGTTCAATATACAATCCTTGCATTATGGGTAGAATTTCAATCGAGAAAGATTTTGTTTTTCAAACTATTTTTCTAAGAAGAAAAACTAGTCCCAAAAGCTTTGTTAAGCACAGGGCTACAAGCAAACGAGCTTTCCAGCCGCAAGTGGATTACCCAGCCTAAAACTCCAGAGTAAAGAGGGGGCCAAAAGCTCCAGTTAAAGCTCCAACAGTTAGCAATCACTGCTACTGATTAACTCTTCAGTAATGGATCCCTGAAAATCCATTACTGCACAAGCATGCAACATGCGAAAGGCAACATGGAAACTTGAAAATCCATGACTGCGAATCAAACAAAAGGCAAGTTCCCTGCCACTGAAAACAACAAGGAACCAGCAAGGCCTTACCCAAACGAGGCTGACCAATGCAACCTCTGCAGGGGACAGATACTGCAACTCAGCAAACACATGCTAAGCTCAGAGCAAAAGGAGGACAGGCCATCTATGGCCCATCCCCGCTCAACAGCACATGTGCAAAATGCTATAATACAAACATACAAGGCACATCGAGCACGAAAATTGCAGAAAAATGACATCTCATACACAAAAGTAGCAGAAGATGTTTCAAATGTTTACAGCAACGGCTCAACAGCCAGATATACAAGAAAGATTAAGGGGAAGGGAATTCATTCCTTTCTCTTCCTCTTATTTTTCTTCTCCTGCTCTTGCTCTTGCTCCACCTCCTCACCGGCCTCAGTTGGCTATGCCTGGGTTGCAAGAGAATACTTAATCTGCTGACCGGGGGCAATCTCAGGATGCTTCATTGGCCGAGGGAGCTGGTACTTCTTGTAAGTAAAGCCCGACAGGGTCCTCCGGAGCAGGTCATAAATTTCTTTCTGCATGAGGTACCTTCCGTATTCCAGGGTAGGCAATACCTGCTTTCCCAAAAACTCATGGCCCCTGGTAGTAGCCAACCAGCTATCTATGTGCTGGCCCATCACGCTATTCAGCCAAGCCATGGAATCAGGAGAAGGAGAAACACCAGAACATGAAGCCTTGAACTCATCAGCACCGGCGACCTCAGCTTTTGCAAGCTCAGCAGCATGTGGTCACGATTCCCTCCAGAATCTGGCTGCGCTTTGAGGCAGAATCAGCAGCGGCATCTTTTAGGATCTCGACCTCTGTCTCCAGTTGCACGATCCGAACCCCTCTCAGCCCGTCCTGCACCAGGGACTCTCTAAGGGTGGCCTGTAGCTCCTCACAGTGCCGTTACCAACTGATGACATTCTCTTGCAGCTGCTCATTCTCCTGAGCTAAGTTATTGGCCTAGCCCGTCATTTCGATCACAAACCTCTAAAGGGCCTCATTCTCAGCAATGGAGTCCTCGGCAATATCAGTGATACACCTCGAGCTTTTCTTCAGCACAGAGGGCCCTATGCTCAGCCTTCTGGGCTTCGATCTCTGAGGCCATAACATTATCCTCGGCTTCGACCAGGGATTTCACAGCTGCATCCTCCATCACCTTGAGATTCTCAAACTGGCGCTTACTTTTAGCCAGCTCAGCCTCAAGGACGGACACCCGCTGCTCGTTATCCAGAGCCCTCGTGGTGAATTCATCAAGCATCTCGCTGAACTGCGCGGTTTGTTTGAGGGCCCGGTCAGCAGTGGCCTCCAATGCGTCGGCACGCTTCTCGGAGATTCTGAGAGCTTGCTCAACGAGGGACCTGGTGTGCAGAATACCAGCCTCTCTCCTTCCTGCTTGGCGAGCCCGGTGCTCCGCATCATCAGCCCTGCGGCTAATCTCGTGACACATAAAAGCGGACTGAATAACAAGAAGGCACGGTCAGACAATAACCAAAGGAAAACGACAAAAGAAGCGACAAGCATATAAAAGAATCACTGACCTTGAGACAAGAGTTAGTAGCGTCCTCAGCAATTACCCTGGTGGCCATCCGGCTCAAAATGAAGTCATCCGCATATGGCCGGATCTGCGAGAGGAAATCCATGCTATGAATAGTTCCACCGACAAAGCTGTGGTCCCGATCCATGCGGTACTTGAACCACTGGTTATCCGGATCGGGATATGAGCGACAGCTGGGGAAAATAGGGTGACCAACATCAGGGTGTCTAGAAGGGCCGGCCTCACCGCCCCCTCCACATGTGGATCTGCCGATGGAGTGGTCCCACCACCTCCAGGCGACAAACGGGCATGCTCATGCCGCAGCTCCTCGCCTTCACCATCACTCTCCACAATGACTACGCCTGGTTGGGAGGAGACGGGTCTGCTATCAGGCTCAGCATTATCTTGGGGAACGTCAGCGGGGATGTCCACGTCCATATCATTCACCTCGACGTCCCCGCCGGCGACACCATCCTGGCCAGGTGGAGACCCCCTCAAAGGGGAACCCGGGGCGGCACCCTGACCAACATGATGTTGCTCTCCTGCAGTAGCCTTCACATCGTCCACATGAGGTTTACAGACCATCATAGCCTCATCCTTAGCAGGGACGGCAATGACATCACAATTAACCGGGGAATCATGCGCAGAGCCTGCGTCATCCCCATCGCTATCCTCAGAGGAGGAGGAAGACTCATCAGGGGAGGAGCTGGATGGTTCCCTCTGGGCAAGGTTCCTCTGAACCTGATCTAGAAGGGAAAAAATATTGGGGCACCCTATAAACAGCAAACAACTCAATATCAGTAAAATTCCAAGACAAGTGACACAAGTTGTAAAACAGAACGGAAAAAAGTAAGGGAGAACATACCAGGTGCAGTGGCACCAATCTCGGGTTGAGCCACACCTCGGTCCGATGGGGAAACTGGCTCTCCTTGGCGGGCAGAAACCTCTTCCTCCTCATCATCCTCAAACCCTGAGGGTGCAACAACCCCAAAGCCAGGTACGGGCACCTCAACCGATGGGGCCGTTGGGGGAGGGACCGCTCCTTCCTCCCCTTCTCCCCCATCATCCCCGGTGGGCGCGACATCAATAGCCATCACAACCTCTTCACCCAGCACAGCTAAGGGTGAGAAACTGGTGCATTTCAGATCATCCTTGATCTTCTTCTCGGTAACGAACTTCCCAATTTCAAATTGGCCGAGCTTCAAATACTTCTTCACATCGCCAGCATACTCACCCAGATCGCTTGCATTGTGCTTCCGGACAATCACCGACTCCTAGGTAAGAATCGAGACATCAGTAGAAAAAGGCGAAACTGCCGATACATCCTGACGGTTGGTGCAGACATAGAAAATCATGCCTTTCCACCCACGGTAGGAAGTAGGGGCGTCGGTAAACCCGCTACAGCCCCCGACCTATGCTATGGAAGCATAGCTCTGATTCCCCTTTGACGGGTTACGGCCAATATTGAACAGGCAACGGAAAAGACCCACACTGGGAGTAATTTTCAACCCCACACAACGTAGGAGGAAAGCAGCAATGTAGTAGAAACCATTGGGGGTGAGCTGACAAGGAAGCAAGCCGACCCAATCCAAGTACTCCGCATAGAATGGGTGCAGAGGGAATCTGAAACCATGCTTAACAGCGTTGTAGTAAACAATGAAGAACCCCGAGGGGCAAGAAGAGGGCAACTCACCTGCGTCCGGCCTCATCACAACAACATTGGGCCCACAAAAGCGCCTCGCCTCTTCCCACTCCCTATCGGACAGGGAACAAGCATTTGCGGACACGGTAAAACTGTCCAGGGTGAAAAACTCAACGTTGCCCTTGGCATTTTTCTTGGCGGGCGGCCTGTGGCCCGGCCGTGCGTTCAAGGGCACAACATCAAATGCGGAGATCGCATCGGCGAGGTCATCATTGAGGCCAGTCCCCCTCATCGCGGCGGCATCATTGTACCCCAAAGGCAGATCATTGTTAGCCCTATCTCTGGTGTTAACAGAGGCACTGCGAGAAGACATTTACAAAATCCGCAGAAAAACACACATGCACACAATCAAAATCCAGAGTTAAGGACAAATAATCCAACCTCCAAACAAAAATTAAACACTCGAATCGGCATCAGCATGCGATTCCGAGTCCGGAGGTACCAACCTCATCAGGAACGGGGGACTGTACACCCCCCATTGCCAACAAAGCCAGTTTGACGGAAAAACCCTCATTCCGGGTTTTCCGACCAAACTGCGACAAACGAACAGTAAACAAGCGGAGCCGGAGACTCACCTGGTTAAGAGAGTTGACGGAGAAAACTTGAACTTCGGAAGTACTAGCCGGAGACGAAAAGCTCTGGATTGCTTGAGAATTCTGAAAACTCAAATACAAAAGAAAGCGCAAAGGAGAAAGACGAAAGCTTTCGCCTTTTATACTTCCCTTCAAAAATAAACGAGAAGCTTACACGTGGCGCAATACTCTCCAGCCGTCGAAAAAACTCAAAGGTTTTTTTTCAAAAAGGCGTGCAAAAAGCCGCAATGATAGCGCCGTACTGTCACTTTAAATGCCATCCCTCGCATTAAATGCTGAGATGTGGCTATTAATTACAAATGGTGCAAAAGGAACGTCTAAAGATTCCTATTTGTACACATCAACGTTACTACACGCCACAAATTCTCCTATGTTCACCAAGTGCTAAATGCAACTGCCTCGTCCCCTCAAGCTCATACTCTTCCGCACTTAGAAAATATTCTAAGTCCACAAGAGTGGGGGATTAGTAAGTGGGGGACTCAGGAACAAAATCAAAAAACAAGACCACAACAAACAAGCTCAGAACAACGTAGCCACCTCAGGCTCAACACAAAATAGGTATACCTTCGAAAAACAAAGCCACGCACATGCATTAAAATTCTTTACATTCAAAATTTTATCAACCCACGGTCGGGACCGTGGATGTAGCAACTAACCCATGAAGCAGGTTTAGAACGCGGAACGCGCGGAGCTCAAGCTCGGACTTCTCTGCAGAGGGGCGTCGCTTTTCCTCTCCGGACTTCATGGCGAAGCGGAGTATACTCTTTTTCCTCCGTTAGGATTTTTTTCCACTATGTTTTTCCTCAGCGGAGTTTTTAATGAGGTACCCCTTTTTCATGACCATGGAAGAGCAGCACCCCTGTCGGGCGAACAAGCCCAGGAAAGTGAAGATTTACTCTCTCTCACCTCAAGTTTCACTTTCGCCTCGAAGAGTGGGGGAGTCATGATGGAGTACATTCCCGTATACCCCAGGGGTACCACGACCGCCGGTAGAGAGCCTTGCGGGTTCATCAGAGGCAAGAAAATACTAAGTCCACATCTGGATCCGACCCCGACCCCGACCGCCGAGGTCGGGAAACATCAAGCTCAGGAATCAAGTAAACTCAGCAGATAACGGAGTCAACCGACCCCGACCCCGATCCCGAGGTCGGGAAAACATCGAGCTCAGGAGTCAACCAAACTCGAAGAGTTATGAGCCCGACCTCGAGAGATCCGAGGTCGGAACCAGGTCTGACCTCAGAAGTCTTACTCCAGCTCAACGTCAATCGAAGCACCAGGCAGTCAAACCACCTCCCGAGCAAGAACAGAAGACAGCAGGACGAGTCCTCTCAGCATAGGCCTGAGCTCCCAGATATCGACCTCAGTAACCTTCGAGGTCGGGAGAAAAGCACCCTGTACTTAGGAAAAATCCGCAAGGACTTGATTCATGAGGAAACATCGCCACGTCACACTCCACATTGATGGAATATACCGGATTATCTGCACACGGCTACACGAAATCCTTGGCAGGAATTCTGTTAGAGGACTAATCAATCAGCCAACTATCAAAAGCTCTCTCTCCAATCAGCTTTACACGTGGCTGCTCCCGGTTCATTTAGTCTGGTAGTTTGTTAGAGTAGCTTTACACGTGCCCCTCTCCCTTTAGACTAACATCTTTTTCTTGGCCATCAAGTATTTCCCTTTTCTCCTTAGTATAAATACCACCTTCCGGCTTGTGGAAGGGGGGCTGAATACTTAATCTTCTGCACTCTTGAGATTGATACTATGAGATTTTACTGAATCGAATACCTGACTCTTCTGTCCAATTCACTCTCTCCTTCCTACTTCCATTCTCGGTGGATTCTGGCCACCCCTGGTCTGACGATCCATCACAACTAATACTAAATTTACCGCTCTCTTTGTATTCTTTGGTTTAGTACACTTCCATTTTTGGAATGTATTATAATTTTTGCTAAACTTTTATGTTTTGATTAATTTTTTCTTTAGAAATACTTAATTACCATTCTTTTTTCTATTTTTTCATCTTCTTGTTTATAGTTTTCCGATTATTCTCTTACTTTATCCAAATTATTCTTTACTCCCACTATTTTTCTCTTAAATATTGTGTCAAACCTTCATATATCAAATAATAAAAAATCCTTTTATAGACTCTGTACTTTATAGTAAACAATAGAACACGGGAAGAGTTTTAAACACTTTCTCTAAAATCATTGTTTTCAAAATTGAAGGAACTCCAAACAACACTTCAAGTGATGTTCAAAGTTCACACAATATGAGCCCGTTTGATAATACTCAAATTGACTGCATTAGTTGACTCTACTGAAATTTATGAAGTTGTGGTCGGATTCGCTGATTCTGCTTATTTATTATAATATTATATATTTAAAATATATTATGTTAATTAAATAAAGGAAAAATTATATAAAAAATAGCTAAAATGATTCTCTACGGTAACTTCAGTCAATACAGTCAAAAAAGTAACTTCAATCTTACATTTTTTCTTATTATTACACAATGCTACGTGCAAAATAAAAAATTGCGTAATTAGTGAAAAATGAGAAATTTCCCAAATAGGACTAAAAACGTTTGTATATTCCAAAATAGGACTATCGTGTTTTTATTCCCAAAATAGGACTAATTACTGCCATGTTTTGGCAGCACCAGACTTTAAACATGACAATATTTTCCAAATTTGGCAGTAATTACTCTTATTTTGGAAATAAAAACATGAGAGACCTATTTTCGAATTTTCAAAATTTTTTACTCCTATTTCGGGAATTTTCCCTGAAAAAATTGGCCTTTAAAGTGAAAAACATAGTCAACTCTATAATCGTAGGCACAAGCTCTATAATTGTAGGCACGGAGGACCCTTATCGGTGAAGCCTCTTGTTTCGGAATAGTGCAAACTCGGTATTGGAAGAAAAATAAAGGGAAAGTTCTCGAAATAAGACTAAGAGAAATTTGTCTGAAGTAAGACTATATCATAGATGTTTGACAAAAATAGAACCTTGTTACTGAATTTACTTTCGTAGATCTATAGTAGCTCTATTTTTGGAAAAATAATTTTGAATTACCTAAATTACCCTTGGGTTGCCTATTACTAACCTAACTTCTATCTGCGTTCACAAGCTACGTGCGAAATTCGACGATATACCCTGTTCTCCATCTACATTTGATTTGCATCAATAATTCAAATTCCATTTGCAACAATTCCTTCTTAATTTCTGTTCGTCGTACCTGATAACTCTTTGAAATCCTTCTGCAATAATATCATGCTATCCTCAGATTACATTGCAATCACTGGATAGTTTCTTCTGCGATTTCTTATTGTAAGTTTTCATGTGTTGTTATTTCCTTTGCATATTTGCTTTTTTGTACTCCTCTGTATCTTCTTCTTAATTGTTCATGAACTTCTTAGTTCACATATGATTAAAAGTTTATGACATATATATGTCTCCAATTTCTAAACAGAACTCCTTTGTAATGTTCCTCCATTAATGTTGAGTGAACTTTGAACTCCTTCTGCATCAATAAGTCAATAACTTCTCATCCTCTATATAAAAGTTTATCTCAATTTGTGGATTATTTATTTTGCAGCAATTCAATTAAAGCTTTCCATGTATATTATTGTTGATTGTTTATAAATTTCTTAATATACATATTATTGCAAATTGGAGAGATTATATACTTCATATAATGAGATCATTACTTCCTTTAAGGAATTATACTATCTTGAATTGATTACTCTATTTTAAACACATTTTATGGTTTGTTTTCATGCGTTCAACATGCAAATCGTTCTAGCTAGCTGTTTTTTTTACTTTTACTATTTGTTTATTATTCCATGATCTATTTTACTTATTGATACTCTTATACCAGTTTGATCATAATAAAAGAACTCGTGGTCATGCACATGTTCAAGGTGAAACATGTGCATTCCTTTTACTGCTTTGATTTATCATGCATTGGTGCATTTTGTTGGAAGGAAAGGATTAAGATTACTTATTTGGTTGAAGAATGCCCCCTCCAGTTGTTGTTAAAGGTAATATTAGTTTGAAATTTGTTTCAAGAAGTCATTAGATTAGCATTTGAAGATATATGCTATTTCAAATCTTTTTCAATATAATACAAGGGTATCAAACACAAGTCTTATATATTGGTTTCCTTTATGATCACTTTCATTGGGTTGTCCATGCAGTTAAGTTGGGTGAATGTAAGATATTTCAAATTAGAAGATAACTTCATTATTGAAAATAGTGAACTGTATATGCATTTTTTTATGTTACATGCTCTGCTGATATACCATTATCATAACTTATTGTCTATTTATTGGCTGTTTACCGTCTATGCACTCTCTATTATTTTTCCAAGTTTAATTTTGTTCATAAATGCTCTCTTCATATCAGACAAGGTTCCCCCTATCAAGCCACAAAATAAGTTGTCGATACCATCAAACATCAATATGAAAATGCATGTAGGAAACTGTATGTTCCGAATGCTATTTTTCTCTTCTATTATTTCCATACTCTGCATTCACTGTGCACTTAATTTTAATATTGTGTATACTATTTTAGGTTAAGCTTGCTACTCAATTTAAGTTTGAAGATGGTGGGCAAAATATTTAGAAGTTTTGTTGTTAATTCCAAAGACAAAGCATGGTTATGTTGTGAGTTTCAACTTGAGCAGTCCATACGTTTTCATGGTGATGCAATCGTGGATCAACATCGAGAATTGTCGTGTTATGATTACATCTCAAGGGTTTACTTCACACATGAGGGAATCACTCTTTATAGTGCGATGGTGCATCCTAGTGGTTCTTGCTTTGATTGGGATCATCTTGATTATGTGTAGTCCATAAGGCGCAGCCCACCTACGTTCATTCTCACACGCCAACTCAATAGACCTGAAAAGAAGCGTGTACCTTCATCTGAGAATTCACTTCTTGATAGCGACAAGACGTGATGTTCACGACGTAAGAAAAACGGACACAATAAGAAGTCATCTAGGAATCATATTTCAGCTAGTCCATAATTGTTAAATTTATAATGTCACATCACTTCCTTTTATTTCATCCAATAAGAGTTGTGAGACTTTAAGTTGTAATGTGTTATGCTCATAGTTTTTAATTTCCAAGATTTATTGGAAATGGACCTTAGGTAAGTTGCCATAGTTTATTGGAATTGGAGATGATGTTATTTTGTGTTCTTACTCAACTTTAATAAATAATGATTGTTTAAAAAACTAGCTGACATATATGAAATTAATATCTTTTTACTGTCTGATTACTGACCACCTTTGTTGTACATATTTACTGTCTACTCAAAAGTGCACTTAACATGCCAATTTTGTCTACTCAGTATGCTCCCCATCTCTTCCTAGCCTCATCTTCAACTCAAATTTTCCACTTAATATGTATGTGAAACAAATGTTTGTACGAAATGTTTTGGTGTCCACCTTCAACAATTATATGCTCATATTTATTTTATGTCTTGTATCTAAAATTTATTTCACTAGTTGAGTTTTTAAACTCCATTGGTACTATGAGTTTTTACTTAAAGTTGTAAGTAATTTGTGTACTTGCTTTAGTTGTAGTCATTTAATGTCTCTGATTGTTAATTAAAGACATCTTGTTGACTATTTATGAACTTCATCCTATAATTATATTACACTAGTGAACTCAACATGAATTAAAAAGTAAAAATGAACTCTCATTTCATTTGAAACAACAAAGGATATTATATATGAATATATGATCATATTTCAAATAAAAATGTAACTAATATATAACCACAATGTTTAATGACCAAAAGAGTGAAGTTTTACACGCACCATGAATTTCTGCAAGCAGGAGATAAGCAGACTCCTTTAAGCATGAAGACTTTCATGCTTCTTCTTAATCAAGCATGAATTTCTGCAAGCTTCCAAGGGGTGCGCAGAAATTCAAGATAAAGCCAAAGGAGATGAAGAAGTTGGATTAAGAGTGCGTGTAAGAGTTCAAAAGAGTAAGGTATCAAGGCCATACAAGCAAGCAGAGTTTGAAATTACATTTGGAGAGGGAGTGAACAAGCTGGTCTCTGAAACTAATCCTTATAAAGAATATATATGGCTCTCTCTAATTTTATTTTCCATCATTTGAAATGGAGTCAAAAATTCATAAATTTTTTGCCAAAAATTTATTATTCATTATTTATGATGGAATAAAGCAAAATGGCTCACTAAATTGTCTAGACTTCTTTGTTATTAAGCATCAGTCAGTCCATGCAATTTTGGATGGATTTCACTATGGATCATCCGGAAACAGTCTCTCTGTGCTTTAGTACAGGGGTAAGACTGCGTACAACAGATCCTCCCTTACCCCACCGTAGGTGGGAGCCTTTGCGGCACTGAGGTAAATGAAAATGAAATGTGATAGAGTATATGGCCCGGGAACCCCCGGCCCACAGACTCCTACTACTCCAGCAAAGGCCCAACAGGCCCAAATCACAGCGCCCAGAGTACCAAGCAGTCTGCACAACGCACAGGGGTGCCTTCGGCCCCCTGGCCGAAGGCTCCAAATTATCACAGAGCGGGTTTCTCAAGCAAATTAGGAAACTGGGAGAAAATGGCGAAAACAGTAGCCCTCGGCACTGTGAGCCCTCGGCACCAGGGTGCCATCGGGTGGGAGAGCCCTCGGTTACTGCTTTATAGCCGAAGGCATCTCACTCGACAAGATATCTGCCTCACATGCGTACAGATCACCGTACCCTGCACAGACGTCCCGTCCAACAGCCGCATTAAATGCGGCCACATGCGGCTGCCAGCGCCAACCAGTTGAGGTGACCCCTCGGCTAATGAGCGCTTGACACGTGTCCCTGCCCGGCATTTATTGCTACTATAAATAGCACCCCGTTTCCCCAAAACGCCCCCGATGCCCGTCTCGGCATCGAGGCCAAGAAGAAAAACCGGAGCGATGACCAAGTCAACCCTCCGGTTCTCACCATCGACGTACAATCGGCGCTCTCCGCCTTCATCCAAACGCTCACCCAGAACCCGGGTGCCTTCGGCACCCTGGCTCCAGCTCACCCTCAGATCGGGGAAAATATCATACTTCCCCCTCTGCCACACCCCTTCGGAAATCCCACCCCTCGGGTGAGAAACGACGAAGGGGTGGTGGCCCAAGAAACATCCTCCCAGGAAGTTCAGTCCCGGGACCGCCATAATGACAACAAGGAGAGGCCCCGTACTTCCGCCCTCAACCGGCTCGGAGGAGGGCCAGACCGCCGAGGGGTCCAAGACCGCCTCGGGGGGAAAGCACTCCAAAGGCCCCAGGAAAGTGGGGGATCTGTTTCGAGGGCAGACGAGGAGCGTCCCCCTCGGGACAAAGGCAAGGCACCCCTTCATGCCGATGATGCTCGGCACCAAATCAACCAGGCCCACTCGGCCCGGGTTCGTTCGCAGGGGGAGGAGACCCTCCCGAGGGACCCCCGGGACGAGATTAATGCGGCTCTCCAGCGCCGGCTTGACGAAATGGAGTCCAACAAAGCTCACGCCACCACATCCACCCCTCACTCAGATCTCAAATACGAGGCCATGATGGCCAAAATGGAGGAGTTACAGAAGAAGGTGGCCGAGGGCTCCGGGGAACCCGTCATCCAGCTCTGGACTCGGACGCCATTTACCCCAAGGGTATTGGCGGCCCGGATCCCGGAGAAATACCGAGGGCAACACATACAGCCCTACAGCGGGAAAACGGACCCCCAGGAACATTACAGCAAGTACCAGAACAGCATGATGATGGTGGGGGCGTCAGACGAATATTTGTGTCGTTGGTTCCTCTCCACCTTAGAGGGACCAGCATACGAATGGTTCAACAGGCTGCCCGAGGGCTGCATTGATTCGTGGCAAGAACTCGCCCAACGATTCTTGACACAATTCGCCGGGAGGCGTCGCACAAGGAAGCACTTCTCCCACCTCCTAACAATACGCCAGAAGAAGGATGAGACCCTTCGGGATTTCCTAGAGCGCTGGAGGACGGAGGCCGACAAGGTCGACGGTGCTGATGACGGGACCCTCCTGGCCCTCCTACAAACCATCCTCCGCACCGGCAACTTTTCAAGGAGCCTCATCATTGAACCCCCCCGCGACTACATAAGGGCCTTGCAGCGGGGGGACCGGTATGCTGAGGCCGAGGAGGTGGAGAAGTATCACCAACACCCGGACCAGCAGCCCCCGAGGGCTGACAACAAGCATAACCGAGGGCCGGGGGCTCCTCCAAATCGCCCCAAGACTTCGGGACCCTCCGATGACCACCCTCGGCAAGGCCAAGCCAAGCCCGGGGGAGGTTATAAGAGCAACCCTAAGACTTGGGCCCAGCCCATTCTCCTGGACCGCCCTCGGACACCATTGACGCACCCCGTCAGCATCATCCTCGATTTTGCCGAGGAGAGGGGCCTCGTTGAGCGCGACTCTCGCGCACCCCCGGAGGTACACGCTATCAACCCTCAGTTCCCCTACTGTCGCTTCCATCGGCACCAGGGGCACAGGACCGATGACTGCCATCAGCTGAAGACGGCCATCGAGAGATTAATACAGGCAGGGCACCTGTCCCAGTTTGTCCAGAGCCCTCGGCAGGAGGGACCTTCTCATCAGGGACCTCCCCGAGGGCACCATACGAAGGTAAATGCCTGGGTGAATCCAAACACCATCCCCCTCGGCAAGAAAAGGGAGATCGGAAACTTGGAAGAAGAGGAGGAGGAATACCCCCACTACCAGGAGAAGAAACGCCACATCCTCATGATCACCGGTGGCAACACAGGGGGTGATTCCACCAGCCAGCGAAAGAAGTGGGCTCAATCGCTTTACGTAGGGGAAGTCACTCATATGCCCCCGGTAAAGCGATTGAGGGAGGAACCCATCACCTTCACCAACGCAGATCTCCCTCCTACTTCTTCTCCTCACAGGGATGCCTTGGTAATTCGGACGGAGATCAACGACACCATCATTCACCGAACTTACGTTGACACGGGCAGCTCCGTCAATGTAATGTACCTCAGCACCTTCAGAGAGCTGCATCTGGAGAGGGGATCCCTTCGGCCCATTAAAACCCCTCTTGCCGGCTTCACCGGCGATACTATTGATTCCGAGGGGGTAATAACCCTCCCGGTGATCTTCGGCGACGGGATCCATAGAGCCCAGCTCGAAGTGGAGTTCGTCGTCGTCAACATTGACTGCGCTCACAACATCATCCTCGGCCGGCCAGCCCTCGAGGACCTCGAAGCCATCATCTCCATGAGGCATCTCTGCCTCAAGTTTCCCGCCGAGGGGGGCATTGGCTACTCCCGGGGGAACCAAAAAATTGCCCGCGCCTGCTATCTTCAGGTCACTAGGAAGGTCAGCAAGACGGAATTCCGTGTTGACACCATCACCGGAGCCGTCGACCAAGAGGAAAGAAGGCCGAGGGCTGAACCGGCCGAGGACGTAGAAGACTTTGCGCTCGATCCGGCCCAGCCGGAGAGAGTCGTGAAGATTGGAGCCCAGCTCCCTGAAGATTTGAAGACCGGTATCACCGACGCCCTCCGCGCCTACTCCACTGTCTTTGCATGGGGGCCGGAGGACATGCCGGGAATCAGCCGAAGGGTCATCACCCACCGCCTCTCGGTGGACCCTTCGGCAAAGGCAGTGCAGCAACGAAGAAGGCCCCTCTCCGCCGAGAGGAGGGAATTTGTGAAGAAGGAAGTCGCCATGCTCCTCTCTATCAAGCACATCAAGGAGGTAAATTACCCCTCATGGCTAGCGAATGTAGTCCTCGCACAGAAGCCCCCTACCTTCCGCATGTGCGTGGACTACACCGATCTCAACAAAGCATGCCCTATGAATCCATTCCCTCTACCAAACATTGATCAATTGGTGGATGAGACCGCAGGGTGTGAGATCATGTCCTTCCTCGATGCCTTCCGAGGGTACCATCAAATTTTCATGCACGAGGAGGACGCCGAAAAAACTGCCTTCATGACTCCCGAAGGCATCTTTTGCTACCTAGTGATGGCCTTCGGCCTAAAGAACTCGGGGGCCACTTACACCCGGATGGTGGCCCGGGTCTTTCAAGCCGTCTTAGGGCGCACCATGGAGGCCTATGTTGACGACATGATCGTCAAGAGCAAACAATCTTCCAGCCATGCTGACGACCTCCGGGAAATCTTCGCCATCATGCAAAAATTCAACCTTCGGCTAAACCCGAAGAAGTGCACCTTCGGCGTCCAAGGGGGCAAGTTCTTGGGTTACATGGTGAGCCGAAGGGGTATTGAGGCCAATCCCGAGAAAATCCAGGCCATCATCAACATGGAGCCCCCACGCAATGTGAAGGAAGTTCAACGGTTGACGGGCCGCCTGGCAGCCCTCAACCACTTCCTATCTAAATCGGCGGAAAAATCTCTACCCTTCTTCCAGATCATGAGGAAGACGGCTGGCTTTCTATGGACTCCAGAATGCCAGGGGGCTTTCGACGAGCTCAAAAGATATCTATCTTCACCTCCTGTGCTCTCCAAACCCAAGGTAGGGGAGACCCTATACCTCTACCTTGGGGTTAGCCCGGCGGCCATCAGCTCTGTACTCATAAGGGAGGAAGACGACATCCAACATGCCATCTTCTACGTTAGCAAGACCCTAAGGGAGGCCGAGCTCAGGTACTCCCCTGTGGAAAAAACGGTGTTAGCCATCGTTTGGACTGTCAAAAAGCTGGGCCACTACTTTCAGGCTCACCCGGTTCAGGTCCTCACTCATCAACCCCTCGGTGCCCTCATGAGGAGCCCCATCAGCTCCTCCCGCATGGTGAAATGGGCTATCTTCTTGAGCCAGTACAACATTGACATCCTTCCAAGGCCTGCCATCAAGGGCCAAGCCCTAGCGGACTTTGTGACGGAATGTACCGCAAGGGCAGCCACGGACGGGGAGCCCTCGGCTACCTCGGACGACTGGTGGACCCTCTACACTGATGGCTCCTCCGCGACCAAAACATGCGGGGGAGGGGTAGTCCTCATTACTCCCGAGGGCTTCAGGGCCTACTATGCAATCCGCTTCTCCTTCAAGGTCTCCAACAATGAGGCCAAATATGAAGCCCTCTTATGTGGCCTTCGGCTGGCTGCCAACATGAGGGCTCGGCAGATCCACATCAAATGCGACTCCAAGTTGGTCGTTGGCCAAATCTCCGAAGAATATGAGGCCAAGGAGGAGAGAATGAAACAGTACAAGGAAGCGGCCAAGGAGTTGCTTAAGGTATTTGAGGCACACTCTCTCACTCAAATACCGAGGGCTCAGAACTCCGAGGCCGACATATTATCTAAACTCTCGGCAGACTCCCCCGAGCACATCTCCAAAATTGCCAAAATCGAGGAACTCAGCCTCTCAAGCATCCATGCAAGCCCCGTGATGAACATACAACAACGTCATGAGGATTGGATCTCAGATATCACCGCCTTCATCTCCACAGGGCAGCTGCCCGAGAATGAGGCCCGCACTAAACTGGCAAAGCTGAGGGCTCCCAGCTACACCATCGAAGATGGAAGGCTCTACAAACGATCTTACAATGGCACGCTACTTCGGTGCCTTCATCCAGATGAAGCCGAGGTCGCAATGGAGGAAGTGCACAGTGGCACTTGCTCAGCTCACCAAGGACCCTTCTCCATGTCCCGAAGGCTCATTCTCCAGGGCTACTTCTGGCCAACCATGGCCAGGGATTGTGCTGACCTTGCCCGGACGTGCACCGCATGTCAACATTTCCAGAAAGCCCCCGGCAGGCCAGCGGTCAACTATGCCCCCATCAGCACATCTGTCCCTTTTTCTCGATGGGGGATAGACCTTGTGGGCCCTCTGCCGAGGGGTACCTCCAACAACAGATACATCATTGTGGCCGTCGACTATTTTACCAAGTGGGTGGAGGCTGAACCCCTCGCCAGCATCACGGAGGCGAAGTGCCGTCACTTCGTCCTCAAGAACATCCTCACAAGGTTTGGCGTCCCCCAGCAGATCATCTCCGACAATGGGACACAATTTGAGGCAGCCCCCTTCTGTGCCCTTCTGGAGGCATGGGGCATCAAACACACCTTCTCCTCCGTTGCCTACCCTCAAGGCAACAGGCAAGTAGAGAACGCCAACCGGACCTTGCTCGAGGGCCTCAAAAAGAAGCTGGAGGCCGAGGGCGGTGGCTGGGTAGAAGAACTTCACAACATCCTTTGGGCCTACCGCACCACCCCTCGGCGAGCTACAGGTGAAACACCCTTCTCCCTCTGCTACGGTTTTGAAGCCAAAGCTCCTACGGAAGTCACCCTTCCTACCCGAAGGGTGATCCAGTATGACCCCGAGGTCAACGACAGCAACATGGCCCTCGACCTCCACCTCATTTCAGAACGCCGGGAGCAGGCCTTCATCCGGGCAGAAAACTACCGAAGGCAAGTTAAAAGCTACATCGACGCCAAAGTTCGAACCCGAGAATTTCAAGTGGGGGACTATGTCCTCCGGAGGAGGGAAGCCAGCCAACCAACCGAGGGAGGAAAAATGGCACCAAAATTCGAAGGCCCCTACATCATAGCAGCCATCATCAAACCCGGGACCTACAAGCTCAAACGCCCCAATGGGAAAGAAGTCCCTAGGCACTGGAATGTACACCATTTAGTTAAATTTTATCAATAATGTAAGAGCGGCCAAGCCCTCATAACTAGTGAATGTACTATCCTATGGTCCAAGGCCTCCAATTTCGAAGAATGAAGATACATTCAAGACATCAAGCCCTCATACTGACTACAGGCCCCCAGGCCTCACCACGAGAAGAACCCCCCCCCCCCCCCCCCCGGCGCCAAGTGCCGAGGGTGGACACCATCAACACCTACAACAAACAGTGAAAACACCACGTGTTTTCAGTCAAGACCCCTCGGCACCCAGTGCCGAGGGAGGAAACTCCTATCACCAACAACAAAAAAGAACACCAAGCGTTCCTACAGAAGACCCCTCGGCACCCAGTGCCAGGGAGATGCTCTCCTATCAACTTCCAAACATTTATTGGGAAACACCAAGTGTTTCACTGAAGACCCTTCGGTACCAAGTACCGAGGGTAGACACCTCCATCAACTGCAACAAAGGAGAACACCAAGTGTTCCTACAGAAGACCCCTCAGTACCAAGTATCGGGGGCTACACATCGAAACTAACACCAAGTGTTGTTTCTAAAAGCCGTACCCCACGAGGACGCATATACCGAAGGCGCCACCATCGGTGCCGGCGGCACGTAATGCCCCCGGCCATTTGCAACTAGTGTGCAAATGAAAACCCTTCCTTGAAACGCTTTCCGCGTCACTACCCCCAGGGTATGACAGGCATGAGAAATGCCCAGGATTCGACTTTCAAAAACGGAACGCTATCCGCGTCATTACCCCCAGGGTATGACAGGCATGAGAAATGCCCAGGATTCGACTTCCAAACCGAAACGCTCCCCGCACCACCACCACAAGGGTGTGGCAGGCCACGGACTATGTCTAGCGCCGAGGGGACGACTTTCAAAAATGAGGCGCTTTCCGCGCCATCCCCCAAGGGGAGGCAGGTTACGGACCACCATATCTTGTGCCCAGGAAACGTCCCTCGATCCCCTCGGAACTCGGAAGGTTAACCCGAGGGAGGAGAGCCATTGGTGTATTCTGATGGTCTCCTAATAGGCCCAGCCTTACCAAGAAACCAAGTTTCTTGATGCCTTCCCTTCACCACCAACCAAAAAAAAAAGGGTGAAGGGGAGTAGACTCAGCGAGAAATCAAAGAGTACACTCCAACAATATCACAACATGCCGAGGGCTCCCCACGGGAACACCTCCGGTAATTGAAGACTCCTATTTCCCGAATGATACTACTCAAAGAAATATCATCAGGAAACGGCTAAATCCACTACCTGGTCACCTCTGGTCACAAAAACACCGAAGGCTTCAACAATACAAAGGGACTGGACTATCCAAGGTCCACTAAACGGTACTTCAAACAAACGCCGAAGGCATCTGTTATGCACAAATACAGAAGGCACCTACCACCCGAAGGCTACACGAAGAAACAACACTTGAAAAATACCAAATCCTAAAATTGGGCCCCCGGCTCAATCAACACTACAGCCAAGGGGATACAATAGCCGAAGGCTATGCGATACAACAACACTTGCAAACAAAGAAAATTTCTATGTCCTAAAGATGGGCCCCCGGCTCAGTCAGTATTGCAACTAGAGGAATATGACAGTCGAAGGCCACACATCAAGAAGGGATGCCATCTCCCGAAGGCTCCCAAGGGGAAATCCACACTTAGAAGATTTTCTAAGTACTACATGCTTTTCCCCGGCCAACTACTTGTACATCAAGGAGGGATGCCATCTCCCGAAGGCTCCCAAAGGAGATTTTGCACTTAGAAGATTTTCTAAGTCCTGCATATTCCCCCCCCCCCCCCCCCCCGGTCAACTGCTCATACATCATGAAGGGATGCCATCTCCCGAAGGCTCCAAGGGAAACTCTACACTTAGAAGATTTTCTAAGTCCTGCATATTTCCCCCCCGGTCAACTGCTCATACATCATGAAGGGATGCCATCTCCCGAAGGCTCCCAAGGGAAACTCTACACTTAGAAATTTTTCTAAGTCCTACATATTTCGCCCTCATCTCGAGGGACATAATTGCCGAAGGCTACCTATCAATCGAGGGCTACAGTTCACAAGGAATCAACACTCAAGAAAATCTTCTAAGTCCTAAAGGATTAGCCCCCAGCCTATTCAATATTACAGGTGGGGCTCCACAGTAGCCGAAGGCTACATGACATACTACACATGCAAAAAATCTCTAAATCCTGTGCATTCGGCCCTCGGCCCAACATTCACACATCAGGAAGGGAGGCCATATCCCGAAGGCTCTCAAGGGGAAATCTACATTTAGAAATTTTTCTAAGTCCTAGGATTTGGATTACGGCAAACACCCGTAGGCCCTATGGTGTGCTACACTTAGAAAAATTTTCTAAGTCCTAATTGCTGCTGAACCCTCGATTGCATATCCAGCAGAGGGTGCCCAACTACCGAAGGCTCCTAAGGGCTAGCTACAATCAGATAGTATTCTAAGTCCTAAGACATACATTCAAAGGAACAAAACACGTACATTCAAAAATACCGAAGGCATACACTCAAGGAAACGGAGGCATACATTCAAGAAGAAAGGAATGGAAGGGAACAAGTCATATATACAAAGCCCGAAGGCGATCATTCAATCATAAAAAAAAGCAAGTGTAATTGCGATGTTACTATTACAAACGGGCCGAAGCCGAAGGATCAAAGTTATTCATTACAAAATATGTTCAGAGATTTATAAAAACATATTACACATCAACTACATCATTCCCGGGGGCACCCTCCCCCGATGGCTTCGAGGTAACCTCCGTCCCGGTGGCGTCCTCGGCATCATCATCGACGCCCATCATCATGGAATCATGAATCACCGGGCGCTCTTCTCCCTCGGGGAGGGGGACCCGCACATCCGGTTGTAACGGGGGGAGGCCGTACACCGAGGGTTTGAACTCATCCAAGGAGGTGCCAAAATGCCGGGCGAGCCTCCGGTAAACCAGGTGCTGGGTGAAGAACTCGCCAGCTTGATAGTAGGTGTCACCCCTCTCATTCATCCAGTCGAGCCCGGGGCCCCTCACCCACTCCTCGATCGAGGCCTTCACCACAGAAGCCACCCACTCGCTCTGGCCCTCGGCTTTCCAGCCCTCGGAGGTGAACCCAGCAATGGCCTCTTCTCGGGCTTTGGCAGCAGCTTCAGCTTTGGCCTTCTCGGCGTCCTCGGCAGCTTGTTTTCTCTCCTCGGCCGCAACCCTCTCGGCCTCAGCCCTGCCCTCGGCCTTCCCGTCTTCTCTGACCTCCTTCAGCCGCAGCTCCGCTTGCCGAAGGGCATCCTCCAACTTGCACACCTCCCGAAGGGCAGCGTCCTTGTCGCGAATCAGCTCCTCCACGGACCTCTCTAGCTCGGCCTTATGACGGCACCACTCCTCTCGCCTTCGGGCCTGCTCACCGAAGGTTATGCATGCCTGTTGAACAACGGACAGAGGGTTCAGACGGGCATTGGGATTATGATAAAATATTGAGACCAAGTCAAAGTAGAAAAACTTACAGTCAGAGCTGATCGAAGGGCCCTGGCTTCGAGGGCGTCATCGTTATAGGTGGAGAGGGCTTCTTTGTCCATCATCGAGGTAATCCCCCTCAGGAAAGACAATGGCTCGGCTGAACCGTGCAGTACGGATGCCCCCGGAGCGAGGGAGAGCCGAATAATCTCCCGAGGCATCTTCCCCGAGGGAAGGTCCGTCTGAGCCATCGGATTATCAATTGCCGGGGGGGTCAGCGGAGGGCTGATCATCGAGTATTATGAGGGGGGCCGCCTTCTCAACGGCGTCCCCGGCAACCTTCTGCTTCTTGATCGGGGGCTCCACCCCCTTGCCCCCCTTCTTCTTCTTGGCTGCCACATCAGCCTTCGGCCCCCCGGCCGCAGTAACGGGAGCAGCAGCAGCTGAAGGCTCTGCGGTCTCCTTCGGGAAAACCTCATCAATGGGCTTTTGACCCGAGGGCTCCGTCTTCTCCTTCTTCTGGGCTTGCGCCCTCTCCTTCTTCTTCTTCATTGCGAAGAGAGCCTCCATACCTGCAAAACAAAGCAAAGAGAATGTTAACCCGAAGGGTTCATACCAAAATCAACTATCGGGATGCAAAATGAAAATGCCTAAGTAGGAGACTAGGGGCCCTCGTAGCCTACCTCCTGCTCCCCCGAAGGCCTCAGTGAAAACAGGGTACTTCTCATCTACTTCCCCGATGAACCGGTACCGTCGGAACCCGAGGGCATGCAAGTCTTCCTCAAAGGTGCATTCTTTGATCGTCACGACCTTCGTCTTGCCCTCCGGAATCTTGGTGAGTTTCAGGCCATCCTTCTCTAGGGCAGCACTCCCCACCCTCTCGTGGCGCCGAAAGCGGCCCCGTAGCTCCTTCGGGAAGGGATTCTCGGCCAGCCGGACGTAGCACCATCTGTCTTTCCAGCCCTTATTGGACGAGGGCGCCTCGGTGAACAGCTTGAACTTTGCTACCTGCTGTAAATTGGCGAAGCCTTCGGCATTCGCGTGCCCCCCACGGCACAAGTTGAAGCTTTGAAAGAAGAGGTCCAAGCTTGGGGTGACACCCCTCGTCCGGCACAGGTGCAGAAAGCCAGCAATGTATGAATGGCTATTGGGGGTAAGTTGGCAGGGGAGGAGTCCAACAAACCGGAGGTACTCCCGGAGGAATGGATGCAGGGGGAACCGGAGGCCCATGGACACTGACAGGATGTGGACGGCAATGCATCCCTCCGGAGGCCGGGACAGCAGATCATCGACGCTTGGCTCCACCACTACGGCCGAGGGCCCAACGTGCAGCTGCGTGACGTACAAGTCAGCCCTGTCCGCCTTCGACTTAATATCGAGGGCCTTGGTGTTTAGCCAGGTATACCTCTCTGGCATTTCAACAGGCCCCCCGGCACCATCGGCCGCACTCTTCTTCTTAGGGGCAGCCCTCTGCGACTTTGTCTTCTTTTTACCAGGGGCTATCCTCAGAGGCGTCGGGTCCAACGGCCTGGAGGTGCTAGGCTCACCACAGTCAGTCCGAGGGGGTGGCACAGCAACAGTAACCATCATCGCCTCCTTTTGAGCTTCGTCCTCCGCCACCTGACACGCGAGGGCTAGTTCTTCATCTTCGCACTCCTGTTCGAAGCCCTCGGCATCCACCTCAGCAGCCAGGGCCTTCTGCAACTCCAAGGCCACCGCTTCGTCGTCGGCAACCGAGGGTGCACTGCTGCTTGACTCGACATCGGAAGCAACCTCATCCTCAACCGAGGGCTCCCTCGATATATTCTGGGAATCACTCTCGGACGACATTCTTTGCCAAAAAAATGTGCCTAAAGTTTCGAAGGATTTCTACGGAACCCTAACCCTAAACTAAGGCCAGAGGGTGGAACTTGCAAAAAGTGTTGAGGAGCGAAGGGAGAACTAACCTCTGGAAGTGTTGTGACCGAGGGCTCGAGTTTCTCTCTCTAGAATTTTTGGCAGAGCTTCGCTAAGGATTTTTGAACGCGTAAAGAAGGAATAGCTCTGGCTCCGGGGTATTTATAGACCCCAGAGTCCGGGCTTGGGCCCGAAAACCGGGCCTCCGGATGGACGCCATCATTACACACCGCATCTTCACCCAACCCGTGATGCCGCCCACGGACAGCCAGCCATCACACGCCACGTGTGCCACCCCCCCAACGGCTATATCCTGTCGTTACGTATTCCAACGGCTATATTTCCAACGGCTATATTCTGGAAGCCCCCGGGTTTTCTACTTCACTCCACTTCATCAAGGATAGCCTCCGGGTACAATCACTCAGAAGTGCCCCCGGGTTGCGCCCCACACAGCACATAACAGACGCCTTCGGGATCACTCCTTCAGATCCCCAGGGTTGCATATCAGGGGACCCGTCGGGGATTCCCCCTCAGCATTGCAAAACCGGGTAGCCCCCGGGGAGTGGCCTCATTGACGGATGACCCATGACACACAGGCAATGGGAGCCCTCGGGTATCTTCATCACCAACTAATCAACAAACAGTGGACCCCCCCGGTAACCACTTCACTGCTGCCCTCATCTGGCAGGCCCTCGATCCCTGGATTGAGGGGTTCCCCTTCGGCGCCACCAGGACATCAACAGCAAGCCTTCGGCTAATCAACACAGGAGCCCTCAGAAGAGAGAGCTTTCGGCATTCCCGCCATTCTCCATTTTTTTACCAAGGTTTGACATTTTCGATTCATCATTGGGGGAATTCGGTGCACTCTTTTTCCCTCATTAGGATTGTTTCCCAAAGGGTTTTTCCTAATGAGGTTTTTAACGAGTCATCCCCCCAAAATGAAACGAAAAGCGTCAGCCTTCGGCCCACAACAGCAACGTAACTACTTTACTCCTTTTCACCACTTTACAAGTGCCTCAAGGAGTGGGGGACTGGAGGACCCCCTCGGGAAAATCATTAAATTACAAAATCTGTGAAATTCCAACAAACAACAAAGCAAGCCCTCAAGTCCCGACATGTGGGTAACTGAGGGACTGCCTTCGGAAGGGACATAAAAGCAACAACTCCTCACCAACTTCAGAGACCACGACATGACAACATCAAAGGGCAAGCACAAATTACTCCTTTTCTCTCAAGTACCTTTCGGCAAAAGGAGTGAGGGACTCCTGATGGAGTATATGGCCCGGGAACCCCCGGCCCACAGACTCCTACTACTCCAGCAAAGGCCCAACAGGCCCAAATCACAGCGCCCAGAGTACCAAGCAGTCCGCACAACGCACAGGGGTGCCTTCGGCCCCCTGGCCGAAGGCTCCAAATTATCACAGAGCGGGTTTCTCAAGCAAATTAGGAAACTGGGAGAAAACGGCGAAAACAGTAGCCCTCGGCACTGTGAGCCCTCGGCACCAGGGTGCCATCGGGTGGGAGAGCCCTCGGTTACTGCTCTATAGCCGAAGGCCTCTCACTCGACAAGATATCTGCCTCACATGCGTACAGATCACCGTACCCCGCACAGACGTCCCGTCCAACAGCCGCATTAAATGCGGCCACATGCGGCTGCCAGCGCCAACCAGTTGAGGTGACCCCTCGGCCAATGAGCGCTTGACACGTGTCCCTGCCCGGCATTTATTGCTACTATAAATAGCACCCCGTTTCCCCATTTGTAACCACGCTGAAAAGTGATAACACGCTTAATACATATCGAATATACACTCTCTCTCTTACTTGTTTGCTCTGACTTCTCTCTAAGTTATTCCCCGTAATAACCCTTCGGATATATACCCCCGGGTAGACTATCCATCAAAATGAAATGAAATAATGGTGATTTACCATCTAAGTTATAATTAAGGGTACTATGGTCAAAATATGCATAGTTTAGTCCTACGCTTACTTCTAGTCCTAGTTTTAGAAAGTTATTATGATTAAGTCTTATATCAGTAATTCTCCCTAAGATTAAAACAGTTTGAAAATTTCAAAATATGATTGTCATGTTTTTTATTCCCAAAATAGGACTAATTACTACCATGTTTAGAAAATATTGTCATGTTTGAAGTCTGGTACTTCTAAAACATGACAGTAATTAATCCTCTTTTGGAAATAAAAAACATGAAAGTCCTATTTTGAAATTTTCAAACTATTTTAATTCTATTTCGGGTAATATTCTCAAAAATAAATCACATAACCCAAGAAATGAAGTAACGACTAATGAACGCAACTGGACTTTCCTCTTATACCCTTCGTCTGTCGTCTTCTACCCAGCTAGTCCTCCTCTGTCAGCTCCATACTCGTGTCGCAGAAGCTTCAAATCCATTCACACCCATCTTAACTCTCCACCCCCGCCCACATTCGCCAATCCCTTTCTCACATTCTGAAAAAATGGGCCTTTCGTCCAGCAAATCAAGAAACCACTCCTCACATTTCCCACAATCACCGCCTTCTTCCGCACCTTCTCCGCCGGCGAGCGCCTCCGTCTCAGAAGAATCTTCCGATTTGAGCTCGTACCAGACGGCGTGCGAAGAGGACTCGAGCCTCCGGGCATTCGACTCAACTCTCCAGGCTCGAACAACCAAAGCCATTAACTCAGTCGCCGGCAACCTCCTCGACCACCGGTCTCTCTCCCTCGATTCTCTCCGGGAAGTCACATTGTGCTTCCTCGACATGAACCAGGAGGTGGTGAGCCTGATTCTTGAAAGCAAGAAAGATGTCTGGAAAGACCCAGACCTCTTTGATCTGGTGAATGACTACCTGGAAAACAGCCGCCACACCATGAATTTCTGCACCGCCCTGGAAGAAGCTCTTCGGAGGGCCTACCACAGTCAGTCCATACTCAAATGCGCCCTACAGAGATTCGAGGAAGAAGAAAACGCCCGGATTAATTGCCCGGGTCACGATCCGACCCGACTGTACTCAAACACCTTAGAAGAGTTCAAGAAATTCAAGGAAGCTGGGGACCCATTCACCCAGAAGTTCTTCTCGCTGTTCCATTCCGTTTACAGACAGCAAGAATCAATGTTGGGTGCCCTGAGAGCGAAAAAGAGGAGACTTGACAAGAAACTCCACAAGGTCAAGTCTTGGAAGAGACTTTCCAACGCAATCTTCGCGGCCGTGTTCGTCTCTGTGCTAATTTGCTCAGTGGTGGCCGCGGCCGTCACGGCGCCGCCGGTGGTGACGGCTCTTGCGGCGGCGGCATCTGTACCACTGGGGAGTGTGGGGAAATGGATCAACAATATGTGGAGGAAGTACGAGAAGGATCTGAAGAGGGAAAGGGAGATCTTGACTGCGATTGAAGCTGGCAGCTTTACAGTGATTCAGGATCTGGAGAATGTCCAGGTTTTGGTGGATAAATTGCAGATTCAGATTGAGGAATTGTTGGGGAATGCAGGTTTTGCTATGGAGCAGAGGGGGGAGGGGATGGGTGGTGTGGTGGAGGACATCAAGAAGAAGGTAAGTGCTTTTATGGAAACCATAGAGGTTCTGAGTGAACATGCAGAAAAGTGCAGCAAGGATATAAGGATGGCTCATGCAATAATTTTGAAAAAGATGAATGAACCAAGTGGTAGCAGGAGCAGATCAGCAGGCAGTGGTATGTTCTTTGGCTGACTGTCATTCAGTCTGTGATGTTGAGTTGAGCTTTGAACTGAACTTTGTAACAGATGAGTCAGATGACTGGAACTTGGATTCTCTTAGGGACCATGGGTTTCTGTATTTACTTACCCTTTGATAAGAATTGACATGCTTGTGCGATCTTTATCATATTGGTCATGGTTGGTATAGGAAAAATTTGGAAAGTAATTGACCGATAGAGATGGACTTGGGATACACATTTGTGTACACACTCGTGTCTGTGTGGGCGTTTTTTTGTCTGTCTCAGACAAAACGTGTTTGTCAAATACTACCTCCGTTCTTAAATAAATGCAACACTTTGACTTTTACACTATTCACATGTTCTACTTTAACTACGTTTTATTTATCAATGTAATAATATTATTTTATGAAAAAAATATTGTTAAACTTGTCTCATTGTAAATTTTCATAATCTAATTTTTTTAATTTTTTTACTAATACAAAATCATTTATATTAATGGTCAAAGTTGTGTCTCGACAAGTGTTAAATGTTGACCGTTGCATTTATTTAAGAACGGAGGAAGTACGTTTTATCTGAGATAGACAAAAAAAAACGTCCACACATACACGAGTGTGTAAGAGTGTGTATAAAAGTGTGTACTTTTGTAAGAGTGTGTATAAAAAGTGTGTACTTCTAGATTTGTTCTTCATTGATGTTGAATTTTCTTGAAAGAAAAATTGTTTGTTAAAGTGCATTTTGGTCAAAGGCTACTATTAGCTCTTTTTTGGTAAAAGCTACCACTAGCTCTTAAGTAACCATTTTTTCGCTGGATCTTATCAATAAGTACACCGTATTTTTGATAGAAATTGAAAAATTATCTAACTTTTTCTATTATGGAATGGATAACGGACACATATAAATGGACATACAAAAAAGTCAGGTTGGTTGACAGGGTAAGAGTTTTGTTGGTCGATAAAGAGAAGATTTTATCAAAAACTAATACGGAGTATATTTGATCATAGTAGTTAAGTTGGTTAATACCTAGAATAGTTTCCTTTTTAAAAACTCCATTTCATAACACTAAAATTCGCTGAAATTTATGAATTTATGATCGAAGTAGATTATTATGTTACATTATGAAAATTACATTTTAAAATATTTATTAATAAAATAATTATATGAAAAATAATTAAAATAATATACAATAACTCCAGCAAATTTAGAAAAAAAGAAACTCAAACAATAACTTATTTTGATTTATTACATAGTTCAACACACGAAATCAAAAGTTCCGTATTCAATTACAAAGTTGATTGATAAGGCTAATAGATAAAAAACATGATCACCAAACAAGCTCTAAATATTACGGATATAAAATTTATGAATAAAAATTTGATAAAAAAGTATTAAGTATTACTCCGTAACTCAAGTCAGGAATTGAACATAATCACAATCACTAAAATACTATTATAGTCACTAAATATAAGTCTCATTTTATCTACTTCCTTCATTTTAGTCATATTAGGTGTATTTTATCATGGCCTTTTTATTCCAATATTACTAAATTGAATGAAATAGACAAAAATGTGTCTTGTTTTAAATTTTTCCAAATAAGTGACTAAAAGTCATTTATTCCTTGTATTTAATCATACATTTATTATTTTAATATTCTTTTTATTAGTAGTCCATATTTTGCAGCCACCAGCGCCTGTGTGGCCGCCCACCCCAGCACCGCCACCGCCGTAACCGGCACCACCGCCGCCAGTCACTATCACAGTGACTGCCAAGTCATTCCACCACTGTAACTTCAACCCCTTGCTCACCGGACACCACCTTCAGTGCACCACCGTCACACAACTCCCCACAGCGCCACTAGTCACCGCACCATGGCCACCGCACAACCGTCATAGCACCACCGGCACTGCCCCACCCTCGCACCACCGTATCGCACCACCCCAACCCTACCTTTACAGCCCCTTACCCGCGTCACCCCAACGGCCTAGCTCCACCGCGCCATTAAAATACCCTAGCTCCAACGACCTAGCTCTGCCGCGCTGCGCCATTAACGAACATTAGCCCCTGGCTACAACCCCTTTCATGTTCTCTGCCCCCATCCGCCATCAAAATCAACTAAATCGCACAGAAAATGAAGAAGGAGAAGATTAAAGCGCGCAGGGGGTTGCGATTGAAACGCGTAGGTGGCCACAATTGAAACAAGGTAGTGGTGGTGGCTCTCATGGAGACGATGGCGGCGGCGGATTGATAAACCCAGTATTTAACAATCAAACAATCGTAAGCAAGTAACAACGAAGAAGCAGATGGAAGGATGTCGATATTATACACGAATCTGGTATACCGTATGAAACCCCGCTGCTCTCCCTCGAGAATGAGAGCAGCGGAAACCCTTCTCTCTATCTCGCCTCTACGCACTCTAAGCCTCTTTTCGATACTTAGGGTTCCCGTAAGTTAGCTTCCTTTTATAGGAGAAGTTGGCTAACTTACGGGTTACAAGGAAGCTAATGGGCTGATACACATTTGTGGCCCATATTACACATCTAAATGCTAACTACACAAATACACACAAATACAAAGATATTTAATCTAGATTGGACACCATAAAATATTCCTAACAATCTCCCCCTTGGTGTTCAATCCTGTTAACTCAGCATTGCAGCGCGAATATCTTTGTTTGTGAACTTCAGTGTAGCTCAGCTTCTTTGTCTTTGAACTCGACTTCTTGGAAGGGCATTCTGAAGAAATCCTTGCAATCTCCCCTTTGATGTCTTCTTGAAAATTTGATCTTTGATGTCAGGGGTTGAGGAATCTTCAATATCTTGCATGTAGTCCATGCTTTTCAGAAGTTGCTCTTGATCAACTTGAATGAGGTCCGGTGACGCCTCTAGAATGAATGTTCTTATGATTTTCAGACGCGCACGGGATTCATCTACCGTACGAGAGTATCTGACCTTTGTCTCCTCCACAATGTAGTCTTTTTTACTATTTGTAATGAATGCATTTGAGGAGAACTTGTCGGTGACACAACGGAACATAATAATTGTTGATTTGTGAATGTAGCTGACCATTTGAGTTGTAGAGATAGCAGAGAAGGTATTGATTTTTTTGTTGGAGGAGTGAAGTGTCCCAGAATGATTTTTGATTCATGTTATCAGCATGTGGGTCACTCTCCCCCTCATGACGATCCGATGAATCGGGGCGTCATGCCTTTATTCTTTTATTCTGCGGAAATAAAACAGGAAAAACAAGCAGAATGATAAAATGATAACGTAGCCACCCGGGGTCGTGTAGACACCCATTTTCATCATTATAGAGATAAACTCTAAAGCGATGGCCTGAAAATGTTGGTGATTCCTATGTTGCAACAGCAGGACTTCCTTCCAATCATTGGTCTACATCTGTAATAGATGAGCCCTCTGGAAGTTCTCGCAGGTCATGAAAACCTGCAACTGACTCTAAAAGTGCGTCTGTGTCCTAGAAAATTCAAAACATTTGGGAGTGAGGTTATTAGACACGACGTGATCAATGAAAATTCAGTGGCATGAGGCTGAGGCCACTGTAGTCAGTATTACTTGTCTCGGAAGGAGACAGTAATGAGAGATGCGGTTCCCCGTGAAATATGATTAAACACATGTCTGTTGGGAGACAAGTGAGTGGTCTAGGGTAGGGTTGTGCATGCGCCGTTTGGACAAAATGCAGCGACTTCTACCCGGGATCTGAAAAAATTCAGTCCTGAACCTATGGGGATAGTCCAGAGTATTTGAGTGGCTAGGAGTAAATGTTCAATTCATAGTAGGCAATTGAGGTAGCAGACTCATCATTGATTATTGTATTCATGCTCACTTGAGCCTTCTGCTTCCTAACGCTCATAATGTTCACTTACTCACTCGCTCACTCACTCACTTACGCTCTGCTTTGTCCCTTGGGTAGCCTTAGTTGGGTTTACTAAGCCATAGGGACATGTTCTCTCATTACTTTCTTGATTGTCTCTCTGTACTCCCCCTCAACTGGAGCACTCAGTATGCTTTGTCGTTGTTAGGCGTCGGGGAGGTGATCATTGAAAACTCCCCCTAAAATGCTGCGTCCTTTGAGAGATTCCTTGCTTTGTCGGTGAATGGCGCCAGGAGGAATTAACTGAAACTCCCCCTCAGAATGTGCAAGGTTTGATTGCTCACAGCTTGTCATCCCCGCCATGTGTATGGAGCAATCTGAACAAGTACCACACATGACGGTTTCCCTGAGCTCACCATGTAGAATTTCATCATATTGATGATCACATAATGTTGACGAGTCAGGAGAGGTTTCAGTGGTTGATTGTTGTAAGATGACCGTTGACGCGAGGTTAATTGAATTATCTACGATTTTCAGACCTATGCAGTGTAGCATACACCCTATTTGACCTTTGGTTTGATTTTTGAAGAATTTGATCAGATTTGCCCAAAATGGCCTTTTGACATCGGTGATTTACAAAGTTTGTCGGAAAACTAACTTTTTGACCCCCAAGGACCGCGCGTGAGGGCGCGTGAGGATGGGTTCTGGGGCATCTCAAGTTTAAACGTCGAGATTGTTATCTCAAGTTTAACCCTTAGAAGAACGTCGAAATCCACCTGCAAAAACAACACCTCGAGACTTCGAAATCTTCAGAATTTCAGAATGTTTAGAACATCGAAAACTTTGGAGTTTCGAAATAGCTCAGAATACCGAAAACTTGTTGTTGGAGTAACATCAGAACATCGAAAACTTTTATAACTTTGAAAAACATAGATTCATCCAAAAATCCTATAATTTAAGCTTCGAAATGTTCTGAACAGAAAGATATCAAGCTTCGAACAATTTTAAGTTTCAAGAAACTCCAAACTTTGAAAGAATCAAAACATCAAGAAATTCGTAAAGTGTCGAAATCTTCAAAAACATCGAAATCTTTCCTTTCGTTAAAAAGCCAGAATCTCGAGATCCCAAAAGTCGAAATCCTTATCAAAATCTCGAAATCTTTCAGAATGAAAAATTCGAGTTTTCAAATTTTGAAAATAGTTCTGAAAAGCGCATGATCTCGAGATTCCTTCTGTACAAAAATTGATGCGAAAACGTTTCTTCAACAGTGAGAAACAAGAATCTCGAGATCTCAATGTAGAGATCTTCGAAACTGGAAAATTGCAGAAATCAGAAAATGAAATATGCTGTAGAATCATTAAGAAGAGGCGATTCCAACAGTATAATTTTTACAAAGTTTCGACCAAAAACAAGATCACAAAGGCAAATCTCGAGATTAAGAGAAACTTGAGAAAAAAACAGAGTCTTCGAATAGATGATACAAAAAAAAACGCAGATGATTCAACCTTTTTCACGCCTCGGCTCTAGTACCTATTGATAAACCCAGTATTTAACAATCAAACAATCGTAAGCAAGTAACAACGAAGAAGCAGATGGAAGGATGTCGATATTATACACGAATCCGGTATACCGTATGAAACCCCGTTGCTCTCCCTCGAGAAGGAGAGCAGCGGAAACCCTTCTCTCTATCTCGCATCTACGCACTCTAAGCCCCTTTTCGATACTTAGGGTTCCCGTAAGTTAGCTTCCTTTTATAGGAGAAGTTGGCTAAGTTACGGGTTACAAGGAAGCTAATGGGTTGATACACATTTGTGGTCCATATTACACATCTAAATGCTAACTACACAAATACACACAAATACAAAGATATTCAATCTAGATTGGACACCATAAAATATTCCTAACACGGATCTTCAATGGTGGTAGCGGCAGCGGATCTTCAAGGGTGGCAGTGACTCTTCAGTGGCGGCACAAGCTGAACTCCATGACAGTTGCAAAAGCTTCATGTTTGGGGTGGGAGGAAATGCTAATTTAGGGTTAGGATAAAATTTGAGCTTTTGATCTTATAAGATGCTAAAAGTTACTTTTATGTCAAAATGAGTTTTAGTCACATTTTTGTCAAGTAAAAGTCAATTAGTATTACTTTTGCCATTCTTTCATTTATCATTATTTCTCGACAACAAAATTAACCACAATTTCAGTAATTCCAGCCACATTCATCCTTGTGAGACTACCAAATACGGAGTATAAGGGTTACAAATTTGGGGTATGTGATGTGAATCACAAATAGTTAAATAAAAAGCCGCAATGTGTGATATAACGCTAAAAAAAAGTAAATTAACTAAAAGCATCACTAAACATTGTTCAAGTATTACCAAATACTTATTGAATAACTGGTGTATAAAAATGTAACTTTTAAATTTTTGAGCATAAATATTAACAATACAATTACTAGTGGTCAACTGACCATAGCTAATCACCAACGAGCGACTGATCCAGATGATCAATGTTAGTAATATTCAAAGAAAAATCTCAAACATAATGATAATCACAATCAATATTTAGGATCATGAGATGATCTTCTTTGAAATTAGTATCACTTTCAGGACTCAGAAAATCACTTCTAGGAAGTGCGCCAACTATTTCAAAAAGGTGTTCTTCAGATTCCTACTGAGAGAAAAGCAAAGCCAATTTCAAAAACCTGAAAGGAACACCCTCAAAACCAGTCCAGCAAACATTCACAACTTGCCTCTACTTTAAAGTCATTCACCTGACCAAAATATATACTTTATCCCTGTCAATAGGCAATTTCTTGATGCATGAAGTATTAAGCATGCCAAGCTCAATTCACTTGAGCAGCAAGCAAGAATTTAAGTCAATGTTAGGGTGTAGCCATGTGCTCAATGATGCTAACCAAGCCAGACTTGTATGTTGAGTAAAGCAGCTTCACTCCCAATTCTTCTTTCATCCGGGCATTCGATACTCGCTTTTCACCTCTATATGTTCCTTTATCTAGGGAGTCGTCATTAGGGTTACATTGTTTGATGACCCTATCCGGCCATTTCTTCTCCACCAAACTCTGAGCAAATCTAAACACTTCCTTTCTAGAGGCTGGGTCATCATCTACTATGTTGTATACCCTACTGAAGAAATCAGGGCGGAGAGATCAAGAAAATAAATTAACAAAGTATGATGTTACTTCAGGGGAAAAATAGCCAGGTGTATTGTGATGATGGAGCAAAATCACAAAATCAATCACGTAGCGCTGAACATGTTTTTCCATTTTATCAGATTTTGTTGCACTTGATTACTCTTTTGATTATTCAGATTCTCCCATAGGGCTACTGAAATTGATGTTTTTATGGTTTGCTGCTTCTGATGGTAAATAAACTTAGGCATTGAGAAAATCGAAAGCGGTAACTATTTTCAACTTTACCCCGGACATGGATTCTGGATGCTGGCATTGAGTGCTTGGCAGATGTCAGCAACATGAATCCGAGAAGTAAAATTCTTAGATGATCTCATCACCTGACTCCTTGAAAGATTCCCCTTCTTAAGAATGGTATCAACAGCACTGCACATTATATCATTACAAAAAAGATCCCGCTTAGTTTCAACCATTAAAAATAAAATAGTATTACCTCTTACCCAAAAAAATGTCATGTTTCATCATCTAGGTACAATTTTTTTATTTTTGGTAAGGGTCAACTCTTACATTTTAAATCATACTTATATTTATAGATTTATCTGTTGGTTCAACTAAATTTAGCATACTTAACTTGTTTGGGTTATTATTATTTAGTAAAAAGTACACTGAATAATGAAAATTACTCATTTTGATCAAATAGGACTTTAATTTTTATTGGGGCAAAAGTAAGTTTTGATCAAATGGTATCCATATATGCTCTCACAAACAAGGTCAATATTAGAATATTCCAAGAACGCCAATCCAACCTTCTGCTAGGGCCATAGATGCCACCAAGTCGGAATACTTGTGCAGCAACCTCAAGATCAAGACCCAATTGCAACCATCCTTCTTCAGCAGCTAATCTAGCTTTGGCCAATTCACTTGTAGGCTTTGCTGGAAACCTGCAAGTGTTAAAGCACAGCTCAGGGTATGTTTGGTAAGGACTGCGGGATGAAATGGCTGAAAATATTGGATTTTCTGAACACAAAAATGTTTAGTAACATCTCTCAGCCAAGTGCGTAAGCCAAAAACCACTTCGTCGGCTTATCCTGCTCATAAGCAGAATAAGCCAGATAAGCCTGCCAAAGGAAATCTCAATACGGTAAGTTGAAATTTCAGCTTTGGACAAATCAATAAACAGACAACTCCCATTTACACATACTCCTCATTTACCCATGCACCATCACAATCTCCATATATACCTACAAGTCAAAAGAAAGATCCAATAACCCACCATCAACATTCAGTCCTTCCCTTCACATATATGATATATCTCGGTAAAAAGAGAAAATTTTCAAGTGAGCCATACTTGTTGATGACAAGTAGCCTAGCCACCTGAGGTCACCGTCATTCAATCTATCATTAAGTAATTCTCTATGTTGAAGCATCTGGAGAAATGATGATACTTATTAGCAGATTGTTATCAAGATAGACAGAATTTAGGGTATGTTGGGATCCTGGAAAACGGGAAGGAAGAGGGAAAATGCTAGGAAAAGTCAGTTTCTTATGTTTGGTTTTACAATGAGAATGCCAATGAAAATGAACTCGAATTTTTAGTTTTTTCATAGAGATTAGATTTCCTAGTCTTTATATAATGCAGGCAATAAAATAATTTTTAAAGATATCAAAAATAAATTTATTGACCTTGTATACTTACCTCCAAACCCCTCACCCTAGCATTTCCAGAGTTCCAAGCGGACCTTTAAAGTGATGAAATGATTAATATTGATGAAGTATGTAAGATTTACAGGATCACCGAGTCCAGGAACTGTTGGAATGGAGATTAGAAGGTGTGAGTGACATTTCATGACATCTAGGACCTCTGGTCTGAAAGTGGATCACAATCAAGGAATGATCAGAAGTAGAAAAGAAAATATGAGTAAAACAGAAAGAAACGGTAAGAAAAGAAAACATGAAGAATAGAAGGGAAAATGGAGTAAGACTTCAGATGTTGAAATCAATTAACTGAACAAAGCAGTGTATCCGCCTATCCGGCTCAGAAGTAAGGTCATGAAAGGGTGAGATGTGGGCATACCTTACGGCCTTACCCTTACTTTAGGAAAGTAAATGACCTTATCAAATTTTTTTCAAAACAACATATTTCTAAAACATATGTGAATAATTTTCAACATAAAATTTGGTTAAGAACATCCTCACAAAGACCCCTTATTTACCCTCAACTTTCCTTTAAAAGATACTCCGTAGATGATATGAGATATGCCATTAATTAACCTAAATAATACAGAAAAACGTGATTTCAATTATAGGTTGACAGCAGAAACGTAGTAAAGATAAACACAATAAAATTTTACATCCACAGACCACAAAAATGTAAAGGAAGGTACAAAACAAAGCGTTTACTCATTTATATAAGGTAAAAAGGAACACATATACCCCGGAACTATATGTTATACGGAGTAAAAAAATCTTTTTAGAACAATTACACACCAAAGTTGTAAAGTTTTAACAAATATATCCTTCAACCATATATGACAAGACATATATACTCCTTAATAGTATACACAGTAATTAAAGAACATGTATACCCAATACCCATAAACCATTTAATCATAAGGCTATATCCGTTCTAACTTCTAACTTTACAGTTTTTGTATTCCAATGTTCCAAAACAGAGTTGAGTGGTATATTTATTCTCAGACAAGGCAATATTTGTATCTTCTCCCTTCATATTATTACGTATTTAGATTCTACAGCTAAGATGATAGCAATTAGCCAATTCAGACATCAAATTTTAGGATTGGGACTAAAGTAAACCTCACAATGGATCTTTGGCATCAATGACAAAAGCATGGTATCCCATTTCCTCCAGTCTCTTTTTCTTGTCAGTGCTGGTACACGTTCCAGATACTGTCCTGAGGCAAGCACAAACAAGTACGTAGTATTAATGAGAACTAAGCTGAGCCAGTAGTTGAAAAAGGTGACAGGAAAAGGAGATATTTACCATCCTTTACACTTTAAATCTGCAGCAAAGAACTCTCCGACGAACCCCATTCCCAAAATGAACATTCGACTTCGGACCTGGGTTTCCCTAGTATCGCAGCTGGGATTCAGAGTGCATCTCACGTAGGGAAAATATCGCACTGTCTTGTATGTGAAGCAGATTGAACTTCGGCCTCGCCGGAGAAGAGGCACCGGCGATGGGTGCGATAACGAGCAAAAATCCATCACCTAATCTGCTTATGTATCCTAATCAATATTTTTATAAGCAAAAATCTTTGACACCCGAATTATCCACCATATTAAAATCTCAAACATGTGTTTCAAGTTTTCCAAATGTCACCCCCGAATTGTCAGAATAATTATAAATGTCACCCCTGCCGTTATAAATATTACAAACTTCGTCTGTTTTTAATTTTTCAGGGTTAAAATTGTCATTTCCCAATTACTCGCATGAAGTACTCCTTACGGACGCCAGGAAGGGCCAGTAAGCAATGGTGTACGGGAAGCTGAACCTAATCGACACGTGGAGGCGGTGACAGAGGAGTAGATCGTAGTTACGGTGGATTGAACCACCGAGAGAGTTTTCAACCGGGAGAACTGCGCGGTTAGCAATTCATAGCTCCACCACTTGAAGCACCACTTCAAACTAGTCACAAGGTATCGTTTCACACTTCGGATAAGCCTTACCAGCGACTGATTCGCTATACGCGCCTGGAACGCCCTGGTAGGCAACGCGCAGCTGCGAGTCGTGCATCGGCGCCGGAGAGAGGTCCGCAATCGAAAGCGGCTTGGGGAGGCTACTCTCGAGGGGGACCAGAACCACCATCTTATGGCCGTTCACGGTGGTTCTTGGCTGGTCCAAATGACAATTGGGAAATAACAATTTTAACCCTGAAAAAAATTAAACACAGACGGAGTTTGTAATATTTATAACGGCAGGGGTGACATTTATAATTATTCTGACAACTCGGGGGTGACATTTGGAAAACCTGAAACACGAATTTGGGATTTCAATATGGTGGATAATGAGGGGGAGGGGGCAAATGTGAGATTTTCCCTTTTTATAATGAGTATTACTTTTTGTAACAATATATATATAAAAAGATGACACTCATTTCTAAAGCATACTTTGACTTAGGTATTTGCAATGAATTTATCATATTAGTTGTTGAGATTTGAATTCAAAATTTATCTTTTGTGACACTCTTATCTACCTGTTGAGCTACGCCCTCTAACTCGTAATTGAAAATATCAACTTATTTGAAGACTAAACTGACTTCTAATGAATACGGAGTATAAATCGTGAAATTTGAGAATTAATCGTGAAATTTTGATACAAGAAATTATTGTGTACTACATTTGGCTATGTACAATGTTCTAGATTGGGATTCTAATGTAACAACTATCATCGCGGTCTCATAGGAAGTTATGATCTTTGAGTTATACTTCATCCGTTCTTTTTTAGTTGTAACATTCATTTTTTCACGTTTGTCAATGCACAATTTTGACTGTCATTATATTTAATTCTCTATTAGTAAAAAACTTTTAAAATCAGATTACGAAACTTTGTAATGAGACAAATTCAACAATATTTTTCAAAAAAATTAATTCACAAACATTAATAAATAAAATGTAGCAAAGTAGAGTACATGAATAGTGTGTACTTTTTTCATATGAGTGTGCTTCTTAAAGTCCTCTTAACATTAATCATTCACGGATCTTGATCCATACTCCGTATTAGTTTATTTAGCAAACAGAAGACAAATAAGTCTCCCATTTATTCTTCGCGTATAGCCAGGGGTCAGAGTGGTCGGTCCCTGAAGGATTGTAGAACACTTAATAGAAATTATTCCAAATAGGACTAAAATTATGACAAAAACTCAAAATAAGACTTACTATGTTTTTCTTTTCAAAATAGGACCATATTAGTCCTATTGGAAACATACCTATTTTTTCATTCCATTCTTACCCTTCCTTTAAATATGAGTTAATTAAATGTTTAATTCATAATAAATTCGAAAAAAATTCAAAAATTCGTAGAAAAATATTTAAAAAATTTATAAAATAATAATAAAATAAAAAATGTAAAAATATATATTTTTTTTTAATTTTTTAATTTTTTTAAAAAATTAATAAAAAATAGTAAACCTCCATAAAAAATGTAAAAAAGTTATGGACGCCTTTCCCACCGCCTGTACTACCTCCCTGCACCACCATCTCCGGTCTGTGAAAAAATGCCATTTTTTTCTAAAAACTGTCACTTTTTCTGAAAATGTCAAAAACATGGCATATTTCTCTTTGAGAATACCAACATTTTCATTGTTTTCTGCCATAAATATGGCATTCATAATGAACTTGACATTTTGTTTCCCTGGTAACTGGAGGGGGGGATCAAATCCCAAAACGGAGAAGAAAAACCGCGACTCGTAATGTCAAACAGACAGTTTATGGACGATTCAATGCCAAACGGACTGGTCATTGATGTCCAACGTTCAGGTCCATTAACACTACATTTAACACACAACAAATCATCCTATAAATAGCTGGCAGGTGGTTTGCAACAAACACAACACACAATACATTCTTCACGTATTTTTGAGCTCTAAAACACTTTCAGCTACTCCGAAAATTCCTGAGTGTTCTGCCTTTGTTCTCGTTCGCCGGAACTTTTGTTTGTGTGCTCAAACAATAGTTCGTAGTCATCGTATCCTGGAAAACGATTCTTGCAACGCTCCTAGCACCGTGGGAGGCAACGAATACGTTTTAAGGATATTGTGCGTAGCACAAGCTTTGACTAATTTCTGCTCCATCTTATTTCTGTTTTCTTTAGCTATTTTAATTAATTAATTAATTTTATTTAATTAATATTTCTTCATTTTTCCGAGCCACCCAACATTTATTAATAGCCTCACTCTCGGCGCTAAGGTCGAGGCCAATTATGTGTCCCCCTCACGAAGGTCAAACGCCTTTTTACTTAGGGGGTGTTTGGGAGTTGAGCTTTGAAGGGGAGGAGAGGGTTGATGAGAGTTTATGACCCTCATTTTCATGTTTGAGAGTTTAAAAAATTGCAAAGAATGGTTTTGGAGGGCTTTTGTAACCTCCAAACCCCTCAAAACATTCAATTTTTAAGTTCCCCCAATTTGGATGGTTTTGAAGGGTGATTAATGAAATGATAATTTAATCTCAACTTAAAATGAAAATCAGTTCAATTATTTGTATTCATCATAGCTCAAATTGATTTTAATTATAATTTCTTCAAAGACTATTTTTTCAAATTTATTACTCTCAAATATGAAGAAGAAATTCCTCACCTTCCTTTCGTCTTCCTCTCCCCTTAAAAGTCTCCCTCTTTCGTCGAAAATGATGTTTGTACGCACTCTTATACCCACTTTTGTACCCACACATGTTTGTGAAAACTTTTTTTACTGTGAACATCGATTCACAGACAATATTTTGCACAAACAAAATATTGTCTGTGAACCGGGTTCACAGAAAAAAAAAAGGTTCACAAACATGGTAGGTATAAAGTGGGTATAACGTATAAGTGTGGGTACATCAAGCATTGTTGCTCTCTCCTTCCCTAAAACTCCCAAACATTCCCTTGCACGATTCACGATTTCAGCTTTACCCATTGCATGGGTGATGGGCCTGCCGAGCGTTGTCATGAAGGTCCATTGCACGTTTCGCCACCAAACAGATTTAGTAACGTGTCCAATACAGATAATGTTTAGTTCATTTATTATTACAACTATAAATACCCATATGAAATGCTGTAAAAGGTGGTTCAAAACTTTTAATACATACGGAGTATTACTGTATTACTTTCTCTCTAACCTATTATTCCTACTTCTTTTTTTGGGGATGATAAGTTTCTATTAACACAAATAAATAAAATAAGTCAACCAACCACACTCTCATCCCACTAAATAACAATGAAATAGTCATGAATGATGCCTAATTTCCACAATAACAAAGAACTGGACGGGAAGGGACTCGACTCCCAAACAGATCTATCTATCCTAGAGATAAACACCATGGACTGACAGGACCAATACAAATCAGTTCTAGTTTTGGAATCGCGCCATATTGCTTTTGCTTAAAATCTGGTCAATTTTGGTTTGGGATTCTCCCTTTAGATAGCATGTGAATCAACATGCAAACATTACTAGCTACTGTAACGTGTTTCATGTACCCAGAATTGGCATTCCCGATTCCCGATTCCCGAAAGTCGGCCAGTGAAGGCTTAACATACACATGGCAATAGGGATTCAAACGGGATGTGGTGCATTCGGTTGGATTATCAGTCTGTACCGGGTAGACTCATGGATGGGTCCATGTGTTTTAAGGGAGTTAGAGTTAGGCCATTTGTAGTGCATGCATTTTATATTACATTCGCTCAAACAATCACCAAACACCAAATTCACTATAGTAGATTCACTCCAATGGGAGCATTTAAAAATGCATCATCCCTTTCAATCAAGTACATATTATGTTACATAAATATAAATACATATCACCAATAAGGAATCAACATGCAAGCAATGAAATGATGATCATACCTACAATTCTGTTACCTGTTAGACCAAACCTTGATTAAGGATAGACTAACACCACCCACCCACCCACCCACATGCATGCACCTCCACCACCGCGGGTTTCTCAGTTTTCAGAAACTACTGAAAGTAACGCATCTGATGCAGTAGGAGCAGAGTTGGCCTCCATACTTTGGGAATCCGTAGAGGTTCTGATGAAAGTCCTGCGCCACCACACTTCAAACGCTCTCTGAAGGTTGGGGCAATTATCCCCCGCCTTGAGAAACCAATCCAACCAAACAAGCAAAACCCTCTGCTGCTCCTCCAGAGGAAGAGTCAAGATCGTCCTCCCGATCCCTTCCTCCACCACCTTCCGATCAAATGACCTGCAGGACCCATGCTGCAGCCACCTGTAGTCCTTCATTAACGGCTCCAACCACGTCTCCAACAAACGCTGTCTGGTCTCTTTACACGGCAGAACCTCGCCTCTTCCTATCCCGACAAACACCCTCCCCGTGATAAAGCTCACATGGTGGCGGACCACAGTGGGGAGCTTTGCATGCAATGAAGCCATCTCATCCTGGCTGGCCCACATTTCCGTAAACCCATCCCCCGCTTGCCTGTCAATCAACATTTCAAACATCCACGTGAGGTTATCAGCGTGTAGGGCGATCTTCTTACCATCCAGTTCGTCTTCTTCTTGTCTGAACAGATCCAGTAACAAGCCCAAACAGCTTCTGCACGAACTGTAAAGAATCTCATTGGGAAGGGTGTCGTTGTTTTCTCTGAGGAGTTTCAGGACTATGGATTTCATCTCACGCCGCCCTATTTCCACATCACTGTTGAGCACCAACTTGAGGATGTGAGCAAGCGTGTCTTTGGGGGGTTTTGAGATTTCAGGCGATACCCGTTTCAAGACCGGGTTCACTCCCATTCCTTCTCCTTGGAGGCGTAAGACTGAAGCCACTACTTTTTGTTCTTCTTCTTCGCCAACCCAAGGAACGGCTTCCAAGTATTTTAGGCACGATTGCATGCAGGTCCTGAAGCCAATATGTTCTGCAACCTACATACATATTGCAGTTAGTATCAAATTAAGCTCAAGTCACTCCAAACGGATCATCAAGAAGTGAGGTTTAAGTCACATTTAAATATTGGATATAGAGCTGATAAACACTCAATGTTAAACACTTCACAATATTTGAATTATGTGTGCGAACATGTATACTCCAGGATACCATATTGTAATGAGATAGTATCAAAGTGATAGAACTCTTATGTTTGCATCAAAGTGATAAAACTCTTATGATTGAACCAAAGTGATAAATCTCCCATTCAGCATTGTTTAAAAGGAGGGAATATCCTGATTCTAATGGCCTGTTTTGAAGTTTATTTGCATCACATGCTCTCTCTTTTACTAATCTGCTTGTTGAAACTAACCAAACATTGGAAAATATCCAAAGAGACTGTGGCTTCTAGGTGCTAATTACAACCGCATAAGTGATTGTTAGCACAAAGTAATGAAGAGTAACAAGTGCACATGGTGATTATTACCTTGAGAATCCGCAAAACACGTGAAACGCTTTGTTTGATCAGGCGCTGCCTCAAATCACTGCAATACATCAGTCCCACGGTTTCAACATATATCTCAACATCATCACAATCATCAACCTCAATAGCACATGGGTAAACCGGTTCTTGTCCAGACATTATTTTACTGGCAAAGAACATACTATTCTCTGCAAGAATATCCCTATGCACATTCAACTTTACAGTAAACCCTTGTTTCCCAATCAAAACCACTCTAAGGTCACTGCTTCCTGATTCTCCAAACTCAATAGACACTTTCTTGGGGACATTCATGGTCTTCGGATGAGGAGTCTGATCCGTCTCAACAGGCACACTGACATTTGGTTTCTCCGAAACAACACTTGGCCTATGTTGTGGAATGGGTTTTTTCTCGGGTGTGGGTGTTTGTGTCTTCTGAGATGGTTTGAGCTTGTTTAGACTGTTGTTTGGCTTGGAAGACTTTTGAAACACAACTGGTGAGGGACAACACCAGAAACCCTCTGGGGTGACTGCAATTGGAACATTCTTGAATTTTGTTTGACCTTGTTGCTCTACCTTTGTAACTCTAATTTCAGCCATTATTGAACACCAGAAAACTCTCAAAGGAAAACTAATTCCATTTTCTAGGAGAACCAACAGCTACTCTTTAAGCATTCAAAATTAGGCCTTAAATTTAGCATTGTAAGTATCCTGTCATCAGAAGAGGTAAAAACTCAATGAACCCAGAGAAGCAGAAAGGGAAAATTCCAAATCTTGAAAGTGCAGACTCTGTTGCTGCTAGAGCTGCTAACAAATAGTAGTCCTAAAGGGCACAGATTATTAAATAAGCATAAAAATGGAGTCTTTAAAGAAACAAGAACAAAAATTAGCTAAAACTGAAAAGAAAAATACAGAACATACCAGAAGCAGCGAGCTATGGCTGAAATAAGCTCCAAGTTCATTCATTTATTAGGCTATGCCAATTATTGGAGGGAGGTTTGGTGTCAAGCATGAAGGGAACCACCAAAAGATAGAGAGAGGTTTAATAAAGTGGAAGGATGGATGGGATTCTCACTGTTATAAATTTGTGGGAATAAACTAAGAAGAAAGAACACTCAAGTAATATTACGGAGTATAAATGAAGACGGAAAAAAGGAACATGCACTCATAGTGGGAGTGACTGCTCATATGGGCTGTACCTGTAACTTTACACTGTGCGTGTATGTTTGTTCTGATGATGATAATGTTTTTTTTGCGGTTCTAATGATTTTATTTGGATAAATTTTCTTTGCGCCCCCACGCCCACTGTACCCTCCTATCTCAAATCTCAAACACAGAAACAGGCCATCTAAACAAATTTGTTATAGGTACCCATACTTACAAAGGAGTATCATCACATTATTTAACACATCACATCACATTTACAACACTTTTACATCAATGGTAATTAGAGTTGTCATATCAGTTGTTTTTAAGTTTTTTTATAAGTGTGTTTGTACTTCTAGCATTTTTCTACCTCAATTCCTACCCTATATAACTACCCTTGTTTTTACCATCCCTTTTACCCCTTTCCAAAAATATCTTTCTCTCACATCTCTTAAACTCTCCACCCACTTTTCTTGTTTCAACCAAAACACACCCGACCTTCGAATTCCTACCGTGCTCGACGGAGGGTCTTACCTGCTTCTTTGCATCATCTTCTTGGATGGATGTGATGGGGAAGCATTTATTCGACTTTAGTGATGAGTTTTGTTTGGATGGGTTGACATGGAGAGATGAAGGTGAGAAACTTGATGAGGTGGGTGACGGTGGTAATCCACCATCTCCGAAGGTTGTTGAAGTAGAAGCGACTTCAAGGGAAGAAGATGATGAAGATGTGGAAGTCTTGAACAAGAGTATGTTTATTTTCCGTCATTTTTGTAATTTGTTTGACGGACAGACAATTTGTTACTGTAGTGTCTGGCTAGCCTAACGTAAACGCAGTCTCATAGTTGTTTGAAGTGAACGTGGTTTTATAGTTGTTAGAGTCTTTATATAATGGTGTTTTTTTTGAAACATGGTTTGGCGGACAGACAATATGTATGTATTTATTACAATTATTGTTTGTTTGTAGAGACAAAATGATAAATGTATGTTGAAGTGAACATGTATATTTTTCTAAAATAGCAGATGAAGAGGAAGAACAGATTTGTATTGAAGTCCCCGTTGTTGGTATGGAGTTCCCCAGTAAAGATGCAATGTATGATTTCTACAAGGAGTACGGGAGAAGAGTAGGGTTTCCTATTAGAATAAGGAATTCTAGGAAAGATGAGGATGGAACAACATCTACAATTGCATTAGAGTGCAGGTGCGCTGGAAAAAGGCAAAGCCGTGCACAAAATGTTTTGAAGCCTCTACATTCGATGCAAGCTGGTTGCTTGGCCAAAATAAGAGCACGTATAAATTATGTCGGAGGTTGGGTGATTTCAACGACTTGTTTAGATCATAACCATCTTATGAGTCCTACGAAGTTTAAACTATTTCGGTGTAATAGGAGGTTGACACGGAAAGCTATGAGACAAATTGCAATCAATGATGTCGCCGGTATACCACTTCATAAGAGTTTCAACTCCGCGGTTGTAGAAGCCGGTGGATATGATCAACTTTCCTTCATTGAAAAGGATTGTAGAAACTATATAGATAAAGTGCGTAAACTTAGGTTGAGAAGTGGTGATGCGGTGGCATTACAGGATTTGTTTTGTAGAATGCAAGCTCAATGCCCCGAGTTCTTCTTTATGCTTGATTTGGATGAAAAGTCACACTTAGGGAATGTTTTTTGGACAGATAATCGATGTCGATATGCTTACAAAGATTTTAGGGATGTCATTACTTTTGACACAACGTATCTTACCAATTGATATGACATGCCGTTTGCGCCATTTGTAGGCGTCAATCACCATGGTCAATGAATATTGCTTGGTTGTGGCCTAATCTCGAGTAAAGATACTCATACGTTTGTGTGGCTTTTTAAACCTTGGCTTCAGGAATTCACCATCAACTAACTCGACAACCCATGGTAGGGCTTTCCTGTCTTCTGGTGACTTCGTAAAGACGCGATGGAGATAAGGTAGCCGTTCACACAGTTCCCTAACATAAAAAACGCTTATGCCCATCTTCAAGGAATCGTAAACCCTGACCAACTTTTTTTGAATATCCACTTCTGCCAATACCCAATGCTTGTTATCAATGTTAAAAGGGAGTAAAACTTGCCACCAAAAGTAACAAAGTAAACATGCATTTCAAGCATTCGTACGCATGTGTTAACACTAATGATTACCCTTTGAAATGAGCGCCAATCCTGTTTGGTTAAAAGTTTATCATCAGCATATTTTTTGACATCGCCTTCTGACTTTTTCATTATTTGATGCTACAAAACAGATTTAATATATTAGTTGGTTATCCTACCAGACAAATTTTGTCTGGTCCAGACATTAGTAGTCTGGAATAATTAACTAATCTGTGACTAACAACCAGACAAATTGTCACGCCCCGGACCTACCCGGACACGTCAACAACCCGCCGTACAGTACGAATAGTCAACCGCAGTCCGACTCATCCATACTATACAAGGCGTCTTGAATACCATTCACACATAGTACATCCATAAACAAACATAATGTAAAACATTTATTAAAGCAGCGGAAACAATTGATACAAGTGTTCAAGCCACACTTGGCATAATTAGGCATGCAAGCCCCCAAAGTAATTATTCAGAAAATACTATCCATGAGCATTATTCATATTGTTTTCAAAACAAGAACGGAAGAAGCACGAACAGAGTCTTCTTCTCAGAAACTTCCCGAACAGCAGCTGGTAGTAGCAACCTTCAACTTCTACCTGAAACTGTGAGGTGGCCTCCCCCGTGAAGGGGATGTCAGTACTTGGAAGCATTTGACAAGTACAATGACAACTATACTAAGTATAATCGAAGTTTAGATCTCTGAGGCCCTCAATCTAGAGCATTATTACATTATAGTTAATCCGTTCATTTAGTATCAATTTATCATTATTTACTACGGTCTAGAGCCCAACTCATAATCACCGTTATCTACTACGGTCTAGAGCCCCGCTCATAATCACCGTCATCTACCACGGTCTAGAGCCCAGCTCATAATCACCGTCATCTACTACGGTCTAGAGCCCAGCTCATAATCACCGTCATCTACTACGGTCTAGAGCCCAGCTCATAATCACCGTTATCTACATCGGTCCCGAGCCCGGCTCATAATCACCGATTCTTTATAGTTTACATTCTTAGGATCTAATTCATCCATTTCTCAACTAACATTTCCAACTAATATTTCAATGCTAGTTATTTATTTATTTCAATATAATTCTTCCTTCATGCATGATTGGCCTTAATATCAAGTATCACTTTCATACCTTCATGGCTTCTCCTCATGGTATCAAAGTATATTATCTCAAATGAAATTCATGGTTGGTACAACCATCATACACACATATTCATAACATCTAAACATACACAATTTATTCATAAATTTGTGTATCATGCATACTATACTTATAATCAATAGTAGTTTTATTTAGGCATTATTAACCATTAACAACCCATGCACATCACATTTGTATCCACTTAGGAAATCCCATGAGATTAACCCAAAGATTATAAGTAACATAGTCGGTCATCCTCACCTCAATTAAGCTTAAGCGCGTTCTACGTTCCTCGATTGAACTTTGACCAACTCCGGCGAACTTTGACCAATTCCGGCGAACTTTGACCAACTCCGGCGAACTTTGACCAACTCCGACGAAACTCCGGTGAAGCTCAAAAATACTTTAAATCAAGTTCCTAACAAGGTTTTATCATCACAAAACCCATATCAACACAAATAACCTATAAAAGGTTATTTTCCGGCAAACCGGTCGATTTGGCTTCTAAGTCCGTTTTTGGACATAGAACCACTTCCCAACCCATAAATCCATACTTAGAGCATGGAGAACCATCCCAAGGGTTCTCCATATAATAATTATGCCTCATGGTAGAAGAAAAATAAAGGGAAAGCTATGGCAAGGTGATTACCTCAATTTTCCACACTTTCCTACACCTTTTTTCTTCTCCAAGCACTCCTCTTTGGATCCTCTTTCTTGAGCTCGAATTTTTGTGTGAAAATGAGAAGTTTCAAAGCCCCTCCTTTCTATCCTAGGGTGCTGAATCGTGTGGGTGGAAATGGTGAGGTGAGAGGGGTGGTTTTTGTCTCATTTAGACAAATGAGTGAAGGGAGGGGGTCTACTACATGTCAAAGGTGTCTCCCCCATCCTCTCAATTGTTGTTCAGCCAACTTGGAACTCATCCAGCCCTCAAGGGTTGACAAATTCGTGGGGTGGCCCCACCCATGTGGGAGGTCATCCTAATTTGTCCCAAAGTGTGCAATTTGCCCCGAAAGTTGTATTTTCCGGACTGTTTTTAGATCTGTTTTATTTTATCGGGTTAAATAAATATATTACGTGTTATTAAATCATCATACCATTTAGAATGAATATGCATTCCCAAATTTTAATTTATAAGTCTCCAAAATCCAATTTCGGGCTTTTATCTGATAAGTTTATCGATATCGGTATTTGGGCCTCTATTGATCGGTCGGTCAACTCTGGGCCTTTCCATGGCCCAAATGAAGTATCCACCATCTATAAATATTTTCTAGACCCAGACGAATATAATATGTGGTCCCGATAATATCGGGCGGTCCCCACTCCCGATGTGGGCCCCACGTGCATCTTACTATTCACGCGAAAAAATTAATACAAATTCACAACCTCGTAAATTCACTAAAAATTTCATAGGGTTCAATAAATTATTCGCTTAAAGGTAAATACATTTGGGGACGGTGTTACAAGTTCACCCCCCCTTATTTGGGATTTCGTCCCCGAAATCCGCGTGTCTAGTCGAAAAGGAAAGGGTACTACTCCCTCATTGAGACCTCAGTCTCCCAGGTTTCTTCTTCGACTCGATCACTCCTCCGAAGGACCTTTACCATAGGAATCTCCTTGTTCCTCAGTTTCTTTACCTGTTGACCCACAATCTTCACCGGTTCCACCGCATATTGTAGGTCTTCACGTATCTCTACCGGTGGTTTCTCAAGGATATGAGACGGATCTCGCACGTATTTCTTGAGCATCGATACATGGAACACGTCGTGTATCTTCTCAAGTTCTGGCGTCAATTTGATACGGTAAGCCACGGCCCCTATCCTTTCAAGGATTTCAAATGGACCAATGTATCGGGGGTTAAGCTTTCCCCTCGATATAAATCTG